CACGGGTCCCACCTGTCGGCCTGAGTGAGAGGGGAGGCCGGGAGGGAGGAAAAACAGACTTGCGCCAAAAGGGGAGGCAAGCCGGGCCGCGGGAGGGGAAGGAGAGAGGATTTTGGGCCGAGCCCGAAAGGGAGGAAGGGGAAGTTTATTTTGTTTTCTTTTTATTTAAATTAGTTTAATGAACTTTGTGACTTTAAAATTATTTCTTGAACTCCGAAAATTCACGGAAAAATCCGGAGAGTATTTTAGGGCACAAAGAATATTTCAAAATATTCCCGGCCAATGATTTTTAAGGGAAAATTTTAATTCTCCCATTATTTCACTTGATTAAATTGATTTAACTTTTATTTAATTTCTAGAAAATGCATTATTTAATGATTTTTAATCCCGAACGAAAATCGGGGCGTTACAAAGTCTAAACAATTTGAAGTCAATATTTTAGCTAAAATCACCTCAGCAAAAGGTCTGATGTATTTGCTGTTGTAAATCTGATCAAATTCTTCATAGCTCCAGTGTGTAGTTGATATGTGTTGCTCATATGTCATATCCTGCTGCTCTTCTAGTTCTGGAGAAAATCTACTGGTTGTTAAGATCATTGAATTCTGCAATATCAAAAAACATTAGTTAGTACTGATTTAAATGACTAATTAGGGAATTGTTACATAAGTATTCATAAATTTTTATTCTTACATCAAATGCTGGTGTCCGAAGTAGACTTGTAAAGCTTTCTTGTCCTCCCTGCATATTCATAGTTTACATATCAGTTCATTTATTATTTTCTCTTTTTTTGTTAGGTATATAATGTAAGTTGATATGCTTATTGTTTGTTGCTGTATGGTGACAGTTGGACTATGAATTATTTGGTGCATGAGGTTAGTGTAGCTCAACTGTCCTTCCTGCACAGTTATATGTTTATTAGTTTATAACTGCATGTATAAAATAGTTTTATATGCTACATCTATGCTTTTTGATTAGTGTACCTGTCTTGGGTCTGAGTTTAGCAATGTGAATTGATCATATAGCATTTGTCCTCCATAATTGACAACTTTTGATGCAATTGTTCCTATGGTATTGCTTAATTCTGGTGAATTGAAGTTTTTTCCTACGTGTTGTATTTTCCTGCATCCTGCATTTTGAAAAAGATAAAGATCAGAATATTAGATCAGTGTATGTTGCAATTGTTTTGTTGGAGCTTGTCGACCTGGTAGTTTAGAAACTTACTTAGTACCTAAATGGGGCATTTTGCTGCTGCTTCCTTCACCCTCCTGCAAATTGTAGATATTAGGACTTCCTGCATATGCCAGCCTCCCTGTAAAATTTATATAAATCATTAGAGCATATGTTAGAATCAACAAACATAATTGTAGATACCTTTATTTATTCTTAGAGCAAAATTTATCCAAATATATTTTCTGACTTGGAGCCATGTTGATGTTTCTTTTGCTTCCTTCAATCTGCATTGCATCATTTTTGCTCTCCTCTGATTGTTGTCTAATTGTTTCTCTTTCTTGTATTGCTTCACGACCTGTGCCATGGGAGAAATGAAGTATATGAGGTACTGATTTGTTAAATAGGTATGTCTTTTGAGAAACATTTGTATTTTTTAGCATGTATTGAGCTTTAGCAGTATATGTTCAGTGTGGCATTTGCATGTTTTATGTCAAACATGAATATATTTTTCAAATACGTTGTGGTTGCACCAAAATTACAATACACATACATGTTACACTTCAATTATACCAAAATTATAGTGTACTTACATGACAAATAAACTGAATTTACAAATGTAATTTTAGTCATAAATTGTTGTAATTTTAGTTATAAACTGAACCACATTTGTAGTGCACTTACTTGTCATATAAACTATTTTTACAATTGTAATTTTAGTTATAAATCACTGTAAGTTTTATACTTTTTGGATTTATTACATGTTGTATCAACTGAACTTACAAATGTAATTTTAGATATAAAGAACTGTAATTTTTGGCCATAATATTTAGGTCAAATTATGATTGTTAGCCTAGAATGGTTTTGCATATATTTTTAAAATTTCTGTATTTAGGCACATATGTGATTGTATTTCTGTGTGTTTGGTATTGAGTGGCAAGTGAAAGGAGTGGTATATATGTGATTATTATATTTGGCTATGTAGTTGAAGTTTTTGAAATTGTGAGATGTTTTGTACTTGAATAAGTAGTGTAGTGTTTCAATACCTTTTTTCTCCATGGATCCAACCTTGACTGGTTCAGTAAATTTCATTCCTGCAAAATTCATGGAATAAATTAGTATACATGTCCACTGAAACCATCTTACTAGAATAAAGTATTACATATTTATTTACATAGCTTATTCACAAAAATTACAGTGAAGTTACACGCAATATAAATTGTTTTTACAACTGTAATTTCTAATTTTAATTTTAATTTCAAATCACTGTAATTTCTACTTCCAGTGTTTGATTTTGCATATGTATGGCAGCATGGATAGTGCTATTTAAGATTGGGTGCTATGTTAATGTGTTTTGAGTGTTTAACCCTTTTCTAGTTTTGATAACAATGGTGTGAAAGTAGTAGTGTTTAACCCTTAATGTATTTTTTAATATTTTGCATCCTTCACCCTGCAGCTGAACATTTTCCTGTGATTTTTTTTTCAAAGTTGTACTATGATATTTTTTTAAATTTCTACATGATGTTCAGATCAACATAGTATGTGATTTTTTTAAAAGAAAATACCTAATTGTAGTTTTTCCTTGTTTGTCTCCCCAGATTCCTTGTTCTGCCTGATGCTAATTTTGACAGGATCTGCATATGACTTCATTTCTGCAAAATTTTATTGAATGTATTAGAATACAGCAATACATCATAGAGTAATACATTATAACTTACACAACAAATGTATAAAAATTACAATACACTTACATACACAATGACCTGAATTTACAAATGTAATTTTAGTTATGTAGGACTGTAATTTTTGTATTCCATGTGTATCATCTAGTCATGTTGATCTAATGAATCTATCCTGATCTAGAGATATAGATTTGATGTGCATAAATGATTCTCAATGATGATGTAACTGTTGCATAATGCATATATACTTGTAGTTGTATTAGTTAAATAAGTACTAAAATATTGTGGATTGGGCTCTGCATGTATTAAGATTGTTTATATGGCAGATCGAGTCATCACACATTTCCAAGATATTGAGTACCCTAGATTGTTTACTATGATGTTTTTGGAGTGATATTCTTTTAATCCTAGATTTGATTTGAATGGATTATTGGAGGGTCCTGCTCCTATATAATTCCTGAATGTTCTGTATGAGAGTATTAAATGTGATCTATGGTCTATATTCTAAGCCAAATATATAGAGAACTATGAATCTGTTTTGCTAGTTCCAAATTGGAAATTATTTTATCCAGCCATTTGTCTTAAATGAGTGAATACCTAGTATTGAGAAGTGAAATATGCAGGTGTTCTGTATGACAGATTACTAATCAAGCATCATTTTATCAATTACACTTCAATAATGCAAAAATTTATGTTACCCAAATTTACAGTGCAATTGTACTAAAATTACAGTGCACTTACATGCCATATGTACTGTTTTTACAAATGTAATTTTAGTGCAAATGCAATGTAAATTTCTACTTTTGAGCATATATGAATGTGAAATTGATTTGGTGGGTTGTTTTTTAGTTTCTGAACTTGTTTTTCATTATTTATCCCTTGTGCATATATTTGTTTTTCATATGGATTGTGCCCTATACCAATTGGTTTGTAAGTGAAGTTTACTATGGAACATGTCCTAATTCATGCTTGTGTTCTCTTAATTTTAGTTTGGTTCTGACTCCATGGATCTCAACTATCCTATCCAGCATCAAGACCAAACCCGGCAGCCATCATGCAGGTTAGTTGTCTCTAACCCATATCACCATACTACTCACTATTGTGGTTTTATTTTCTTTTTTGTGCTGCCCAACTGATACAGATATGTTTTGGAATATATGATGTATTTGGTGCTGGAACTCCTGAGTTCATGTTTGAATAGATGTATTCAGTTTTTAGATAGTAAACAACAGAAGTTGTTCTGTATGGTCTACCTGTTTGATTGATTGATAATTTTACAGTGCATTTGTACTAAACTTACAGTGCACTTACATGTCATATATACTGTTTTTACAAATGTAATTTTAGTGCAAATGCACTGTAAGTTTTACTTTCAGTGTATGAACTGTGCCCTGTATTTTGTTCAAAACACTCCTTATGCATATGGGATGGGGGCACGTATGGTGCTATGATCTAAGATTTGTAGTCAATTTTGAGGATGAGCACAGGTTTATGGAACATACCTAGTTTGGATTTCTTCCTTATTTCTTGTTTCTCCCCTGTGATTTCACTTTGATTTGAAGAATTTTGCTTTGGTTCAACCTTTTTTCTCTTCTTTCTCTCCTACTCGTTCTCCATGGTGTGCGTGGTGTTGCTTTTTTGGATCTGGTGTGTTAGTTTGGATTTGTGTTTGTCCTTTTTCTTTTAGCTTTCTTGGCAGCCAAGTTGATGCTTTTGGACAGGGTTGACTTTACTTCTTTGGGCCTCTCAGATCTGTTCTTTGTTTGATTTATTTTTCTAATTTGTTGTTTGGGCCAGATTGCAGCCCATGTTTTATCTGTTTTTTTTAGTGTGTTGGCCCAGTCATTTTTGGCCTTTTTTGGCTGTCTGTTTGGTTTTTTTTTACTCCATTGGATGAAAATCTAAGGGCAAGGAAAAATCTAGGTGATTTTTGAGAAAAAATCACCCGACAGATGCATAGGTAGTTCCGTGAAGGAATAATAAATTAAGGAAAGCGAGGCGAGTGGTGGTGGTGGATCGGAGGAATGGCCCTACATGTAAGCGAGTGGCCATTAGTTGCATGCTGACCTCGATCTGCGCGGGAGAAAAACACGGTCTCGCCTCAAAATCATGGCCTCCTTCTTCTCCTCCTCCAACCCTTAGCTTCTCGGTCGATCGATCCATCTAGCTTCATTTATATATATATGTCATCCATCCAATGCATGCAGTCGCTTCGCTAGCTATCGATCGATCGGTCGATCCAAGCTGCAGACACAATATTAATTCAATTCAATTGAATTCTTCGATCATCCATGGCGACGGCGCAGCAGGAGAGCATCAGCAGCGGTGGTGACGGCAACAATAATAATAATAAGCAGGTGGCGGTGGTGGTTGTTGAGGAGGCGTCGACGCCGTCGTCGGCCTTCAAGTTCAACGTGCACGCGCCGGAGTTCGTGCCTGCCATGTCGCCGACGGCCAGTCCGATGTCGGCGCCCGCCGGCAGCAGCAGCTTCTACTCCCCCTTCGGGCTCCACGTGCAGCCCGATCACTGGAGCTTCTTCCATGACCACGAGCCCGTCTTCTTCATGCCCGACTTCAAGTTCGCCGCCGCCGCCGCCGCCAGCGCGCAGCCCAAGCCCACCTCCGCCGCCGACATGCCCCACAAGATCGTCAAGCAGGTCGAGTACCAATTCAGCGACATTAACCTCGTCGCCAACGAGTTCTTGCTCAAGATCATGAACAAAGATTCTGAAGGTTACGGTACGTACGTCATTCCATTATATATATATATATATATATATATATATATATATATATATATATATATATATATATATATACTCCTATATATATTTCTGCTTGCTAGCTTAATTAGCTCCTAAAACCGTACGTGATTTTGCATTCAGTCCCCTTATCCGTGATTGCTTCTTGGAAGAAGATCAAGTCTCTTGGAGCAACCAATCAAATGCTGGTCAAGGCTCTTCGCACCTCCACCAAGCTGGTAATCAACAAACTAACTAATTAAGCATCGATCGATCGATCGATCGATATAGTTAGTATATGGTTCATCGAATATATACTTGCTTTGGGTACGTACATACTCCGATCCATCTGTGTGTTTTCGTTAATATATATATTTCGTGCATGCAGATTGTGAGTGATGACGGCAAGAAAGTCCGGCGGAGGCAGCCATTCACGGAGAAGCACAAGGAGGAGCTTCAGGTCTCATCACTCTGCTCTCTCTCTGTCTCGATGCATGTGTATATCTGATTAATTAGCTAGCTAGCTATATATAGTGACAATCAAATTAAAATTAAACAAATATATATGATACTTAAATTAATTAATTGTTGGTGCACGTTTATACGTACGCGCGCGCGCAGTCAAGGATGATCATAGCTGAGAATTTGCCAGAGGACTCATCGAGAAACAGCCTGGAGAAAATCTTCGGTGTCGTTGGAAGGTCAGGAAGTGCCGCCGGGCCTCAGATAGTCGTGTTGCATGCTTCCCACATTGTATACGAGTGTATTGTTTTGTGTGTATTATATTACTACTACGTTGTTGAAATAAATTATATTACTACTTGGCGTGCATATATATGTGAAAAATCGATCGATGGGGTGGGCCGGCATGCATGTGCAGTGTGAAGAACATAAAGATGTGCCACCCTCAAGAGCCTAGCACGGCAAGAGCTTCCAAGTCAGACACTCTAGTCAGTAACAAGGTATTTATATGTTGAGTAGTACTTTGTTAAGCTATATATACATCACTGTTTGTTTGTACTTTTCTTTTAACTACTCACACCAGATAGTGCGAAGTTCATATTGATATAGTAGGAAAAAAAATTATAAGATTACAACCCTCGGAGATTGTAACCAGGAAAAACAAAGAAAACAAATACACCGCTACCGAGAGTTAGTATATCTCCTCACACCACACCCTGGAGAAGACACTAGCACAAAATCAACCACCGCTAAGCGTGATTGATCGCCACTAGGCTAACAAGGGGGGTTGCAAATGCCCCGCCTAACACCGATTCAACCCAGAAGGACATCGAAAGACTTACGGTTATCCTCATGTAGAGAGATTGAGGAGAGGGAGAAGGCGAGAGAGAAGGAGATCCACTCGTCCCTCGCCTCAACTTGATGTAGACATCCGAGAGCCGTGAGCGGCAAATAAGAGAGAAGGCGATGAAGGCAAGGAACAGGACCTCCTAGACAGCGCCTTCAGAAAGACCATGGCATCTTAGACTTCATCGTTACCCGTTCAGAAGGACTTGGTTTTCACATGGAGGGCCCTGTCAAGGGTGAAAGGGTAGTCGCTCGATAGTGCCGCAAAGGGGAACGCGGCGTCCGAAAATGTCGCCATTGCCAGCCCGAGTAGTCCCAAGCTAGGCTTTCACCTGCAAACCGCCCCACGACACCAGTCTTTGCCACTCTCAAGCTCTGCCACCTGCACAACCTCTGCCACACCAGGCACCAACACCCCACCACCAGCCAAGCCTGTCCTGGACTCTCATGGACACAGGCTGCAACGGCCTTCCTGTTGTCGTGGTGAGCCGAATCCATCGCGCCAAACCACTCCGGCCGCCGGTCTCCGCACCCGACTCGTGCTCCGCCTCCCGCACCGAGGAGGAGCTTCGTTGGGGTTGATTTTCCCGCCACCGCCTTCTCGGCTGGCCGCTAGCTCGGGCTCCGGTGGCAAGGAGGGGTAAGGGGGGTGGCAGTGTGGGCGGCTAGGGTTTCGCTCATGAGCCGCCCGCGCAAGAGCGACATGGTTTTTTTTTTTTGCAGCAATAAAGTTTGTTTGTATTGTAGCAGACGACTCACTCAGAAATTCCATGGTAGAAACTAATTAAGATGCATGCAGTAACTGGTGTTATTGACGTATGTTCGTTGTGTGTAGATGCATGCACTGGTGGAGTACGAGAGCTCGCAGCAAGCTGAGAAAGCAGTGAGTAGAGTAGAGTAGTCGTTTTGTTTTTCCAGAAGAATATATATATATATATATATATATATATATACAGTATGTGAATATACGCAAGCTAGGAGAAAAGAAATCAAGTGGAATGCATGCATGTATGCAGGTGGAGAAGCTGAACGACGAACGGAACTGGAGGAAAGGCCTTCGGGTGCGCACCGTCCTCAGGCGATCGGTACTAAATTAATTTTTATATATGATCGATCCCAAATTAAACTATAATAACCGTCCGGGCAATTGGATCATCAAATTAAATTTAAATTTTGAAATGATTTTTGATGCATGCATGGTCGCGTCGGTGGACAGCCCAAGTCGGTGATGAGGCTGAAGCGGACGGAGTTCGACCTCAACTCGGACGACGAGCAGTCACCGATGTCGTCGGACTTATCCCCCACGGCGACGGCGACGGCGGCGGAGTTGTCGGCGGAGGCGGCGGGTCACGATCAGGGCGGGGAGCAGCAGATGATGAACAGCAGCAAGAAAGGAGGAGGGTGGGCGCGAGGGGGCCGAGGGAAGCTGCAGGTGGCGGCGCCGCACAGCCCGCAGTCGGCCCCCGCCGGCAGTGTGGGGCACTTCGAGCCGGCGAGCCCTCGTCACAAGCTGCCGGCGAGCCCCCGCCACAAGTGCCCCTCCAGCCCACGCCAGCCGCCTCCTCACGCCCACGGCCCCAGGATGCCCGACGGCACCCGCGGCTTCACCATGGGCCGCGGCAAGCCCCTCCTTGTCTAGCTCCGATCCAGTCACATCACATCTCTACGTGTACGATTGCATACATGCCATGGATACTTCAGGCCCTCGATCGATCTTCTCTCCTTTCATTTTCTCCTCTTCTCTTCTCTTCTTCTTCTTCTTCTTTCTTTATTTTTTGGATTTTCACACCCCTTAAATAAAGAGCAACGGACTGGCTGTCTGCTATATCATATTCAAATACTTCAAGGTTATAATATTTTTTTTGTTACCCCAGTCACACAGAGTTTAAATTTGCTCTTAATTAAATGATGCCGCGCGACTTCAGATATGTTATTATGATCTTCAGTCTCCATATACCAGCTAGCTGTTCCCCAATAATATAATTAACCCGCTGCTATTTGCTTATTTGATCAACTAGGAAGGTAGCCCACGCATTCGCGCGGGCATACGTCGTACGCTAAGTATGCGACATTTATAAGAGTGAAATATTAATCGGAGATCAACCGTCACGATTTCTCCATAAATTGTTTTCACCGGTATTAATTGCTTATATAATATTAATTGCTTATATAATATTTAATTGCTTATATAATTGTTTTCTAACCTATTACTTTTATGTTATATCATATTTAAAGAATATCTATAAGCAATTATTTATAATCTTCTTCATCATTTGAAAAGAATATAGTCTTATTTTCTTTAGAAAATATGTCAACGAAAGTAAAACTAATGTGTTTTTCTTTTTTTTAATTGCATATATCATGGTTTATTAGAGGATGAATTGGGCAGGACATGAGGCTTCACTAAATGTATGGGTTTATATAGCCTAATATGATTGATGTAGTTTGAGAGGTGATCCATCCATGAACATTTTCATTTAGAGTGGGTTAGAGGCTCCACACAACCTAACATGAATACGATAATCACGAAATATAGTTGTGCGGTAATATTTTTGAAATGTGATGTCCCATGAATACACGCTTGTTTGTTATATAACATAGATCTAACGGTTAGAAATAATAATGGTTCCACCGGTTTAAAAGGCATAGTAGTATTCAAAAAATATAGCTTGAAAATTATGGTTGTTTTAATATCCAATATTATTGCGAAGTGAGTGTAGCTCAACTGGTTATGTTCCTTGTGATAGAACATGCCCACCTGGATTCAAGTCTTAGACTTGATACGGGTGCTCGTATTTACCGCTAATTATTCCTTCAGTGCTGACATACCCGTCGGCAGCGAGACGCTCGTGGTGATTTCGTCAATCTCAAAATATGTCGGCTCAGTCTTTAGGAGATACTTATAGGGGTAGGATGTGCGTGTGTGCGTTTATAGGGGTGAGTGTGCGCGTGTTGTCAGTGTCTGCGATTGTATGGTGTTTCTTAAACAAATACCCAATATTATAGATTGTTTCTCTTTGTGTGTTTTCATAAGGGTGAGTGTGCGCGCATTTAGAGTGCATGTGTTTTATAGTCTTTCTTAAAAAATGAATATTATTGACTGATTCTCTTTAGTTTGATAGCTAAAAAATAGGGAGAGGACGGACGATGTTTTGTGCGTGTGAGGGCGGGGAGGAGGTGGAGGAGATTTTATTCTTCTAATTTTTCTATATTATTTAAGTGAAATCCGATGATGGGGTGTTTCATTTTTTCTAAGAATTTCTAAGATTCTTAAAAAATAATGGGTAAAAAAAATATATTTTCCACCTTTCTAAAAGAGGAAAATATGAGAGAAAGGAAATAGGTGGTATTCCTTTTTTACTTGGACAAATAATTTAATGGTAGAAAACAATGAGTCCACCGTAAATTACTGAAAATCGATAGCCAAATGTTTTGTTTATTCTCAATATTTTTATAATTTTCTAATTTATTAAATGTCATGCGGCGACGTAGGAGCATTTGTAGGAGTGCTACGTGACATCCTGAGTATGTTTATAGGATGTTTAATGGACTTTTAGTATATAATAGACGATACTAAGAGGAAGTAGGCTAATGTAAAGGTATAAAGGATCCATTAATTTAAATATAGTGTGACGTGAGATTATAAGTGCCACGTAATGGCCTAAGAGCGCTTATAGAAGCACCACGTGACTATGTGACTATATTTGTAGAGTTATAAATTTTATTTCTTATAGTATAGAAGATCCTATTTTAAAAAGACTGTCGATTTTTTTTCGATGGTTATAACACCGTACATATATTTTTCTTTAGGGCTTTATAGCATTTTTTTATCGTGCGTTCACCGTACATACGTTCGTATGTCCCTTTGTATTTTTCCATCCAAGTGAACAGTTTATCAATATTCTTTTTTTGTCTTTATAGGTTTATCGTACACACGTACATTCTTTGTTTCTTTTTTAATAAACAGTACCTAAAGATATACTCCATCATACACGTATGTAAGTATTTTCATACGTGTACGTATGTATGTATTTCCATCGTACGTAACTATTTTCATTTTTCATGTATATAAGTATTTCCAAGTAAATGGCTCGGATATAGAAAGCATAAACTTTTTAAATAAATCTAATCCGACGGTGTAAAATAATGGGTCCACCAATTTAAATGAAAATCGATGGTGGGATTGTAGAATGCCACATGGCGGTTTAGGAGCGCTTGTAGAAGCGCCACGTGGCGGCTTCGGAGCGTTTATAGGATGTTTAATGGACTTTTAGTATATAATAGATAATAGATAGAAGATTTCAGGTGTGCAGCTAGCTGTGAGCATTTCATTTTGGCTAGCTAGAAACAGCAGTCCAACTATGATTCAGACATGTACGTTAGAATACAGTTGCATATACTACCTGACATAACAAAAATTCTGCATTTTTTAGAATTTGTACCGAATATGCTCTTCCGAAGTTTGCTATATAAATTAGAAATTGGAGTTGTAATAGGTACACAACATAAATTAGAGTCAGATCTATCATATGATCTCTTAATAGAAAGGCACATATATTGTGACCAAATGACGAGAGTGCGATGCATAGGCAAGGGAAAACTTGCTGGCCGAATAACCGCTCGATGGTCGTGACTAACCTGATACGTTGTAGTTATGCTGGAACAACGAGGAGCACCTATAATCAATGTATCGGAGATGTAGGCTATCGTTGAACTCTATTACCAAATATCGCGTCAATGTCATCCTAATCTTTGTATCTTCTATGACATTATTCTACGTCCAGTTACTAATGTCGATTTCAGAGTCGGTTTGTATAACAAGTGGTATAAGAACCTGCCCTGGAGGGAGATCCAATGAAAGAGGGACGATGGAGGTGCTCACACCGCGCAAGGTTACGCGTAGTGTTCGTGATATGATATTGTGCAATGTGGAGCACGTTGGCGATCAATTTGATCGATGGAGCTAGACACTTCGAGCAAGCAGTCTTGATTGTTTGATAAGTTGCTTTTACAAGGGAGATGGGTAGACATGATGTTCAAGATTGATTGAAACTGGAGACAATCGACAATTTGATGAGTGGAGTCGAACACTTCGAGCAGATGGCCCGAGCCTTTCGATAAGCTGTAGTCGACGGGGAGATAGCCTGACGTGGCACTCAGGGCTGATTGGTTGTTGATGAAGATGACGCCAATGGTGGCAACTTTTGCGTGCTACATGAGGATGTCTCGTGGCATGATGCGCAATTTTGTGCATGTGATGGGTTCGGGGTGTGCCTGTAATACTTGTCCCGGTTATCCATACTTGAAGCAGGAACAATAATAGGTTGCTATGTGGTGATCCGGTCTCGTTTCAGTCAGTATATTTTTCAAAATTCTCTTTTTCATTCGCATTTCAACTGCATTGTGCTGCTTAACCTCCCTCATCTACAATTGTAAACCACCTTTGTCATAGAGATTAAATAATAATAAATCATACGGATATCTGAAAGATTACTTTCCTCGTATGTGCTGCAAATTTCATGGTTTTGCGTGTCTTTAATACGGATAACCATGCAAATCATAAGCATAAATTCTCATTGCTCTTTGGAAAAGACATGAAAGAACTGTAATTATATTGAAGATAACACGCAATAGGGTAGCATGTTAAAAATTTACTTGATAGTACTTCTTCTGTTTTTTATTGTAAGATTTTCTAGCATGAATGTGGATAATGCTAGAAAGTATTACAGTATATAAACGGAGGGAGTACTAGTTATTGTCGGTTATGCTGATCTATTTAGCTTTTTAACGGAATTATTGAAACAAAATATTCGTTGCGCTATTTGAAAAATAAGTAATCAATAACTTTTTTTTACTGAAACATAGTACAAATGCATGTGTCCATAACGCGTGTATACTCACCCCTATAAACGAACACACGCACACCATATCTCTATGAGCATCTCCGAAATATTGGGCCGATAATTTTGAGATTAACGAAGTCACCATAGATGCCTCGCCGTTGACGGATACGTCGCATACCACTGAAAGAATAATTAAACGTAATTGCGAGTACATGTGTCAATTTAGAATTTGAACACTAATGGATTGGTTTCACCACAATAAACCGAAAGCTAAACTCACTTGGATTCTAAATATTTTTATTCGAATAGATGAATAGGTGTATTCCTTAAATATAATGTGTGGCAATTTTTAAAATAAATTAAGCATGGACTAGAATAGTCCACATGTTGTATTTTTTATATTATCTTGTTATTAGTAATTTGATATGAGACGGTGCGACGCAATGTTATCCATTTTGGAATGAACTCCACTTTGGGCCATATCCTATCATTAGGACATGACTCGGTCTTGTGTCGCTGACAGTGGGCCCTAAATAGCGCTATCGGTCGCCACGTGGAGCCCAGCTGTCCACGTACAATCTGCTGACGAGACGCCGTCCACCGCCCCCGGTTGGTCACTGTTAGGTGGGCCCCGAAGCGCCCGAGGCCGGGAAGAGACAGACGACAGACTGATGCGTGGGACCCACCACCACCACCCCTCTTTTCTTCTCCGCAGGCGCAGCTCGCAGCTATCCTCTCCTCTCGCATCGCAACTCGCGCGCACACAGAAAAAGAAAAAAAGAAAGAGTCAAGGGGAGGGAAGGCGAGAGAGAGAGATGAGGGAGCCGGTGGTCGTGGCAGCTTCTTCTGCGGCGGCGTTGCGGGGTTTCTGGGAGGAAGTCAACGAGTCGCCGGCATGGCAGGACGGCGCCTTCTTCTCCCTCTCCGCCGCATACGCCCTCGTCTCCGCCGTCGCGCTGGTCCGTCTCCCAAACTCTCATTCATTCACCTATAGCTACTCGATCTCTTCGCCGACGAATTAGCTCACCTCACCTGCAATATACGTACTATATATATATTCGATTTGATTTGAGTGCAGATTCAATTGATCAGGATCCAGCGCCGAGTGCCCGAATTCGGATGGACCACGCAGAAGGTCTTTCACCTCATGAACTTCCTTGTCAATGGAGGTAATGCAACGTCCCACGATCCCATCCCCTTTTCTTTTCTTCTTCTTATTCTTATTAATTCACTCGCGTTTGCTGATGCTTCGTATCATAATTTCTGGAGTAATTTTTACTGTTCCTTCACAAATTAAACACTTGTCTTTCTGCTGCAGTCCGTGCTCTCGTCTTTGGATTCCATCTCCATGTCTTCCTTCTCTCCGCAAAAGTAAGACCCCACTTACTTGAATACTAGTACTACTAAAAACTAACCATCAACAACTGATTGATTGATCAAAAAGCCGGCCTCCACAGGTTTATAAGTTGGTGCTGCTAGACCTCCCCGGCTTGTTGTTTTTCTCCACCTACACTCTGCTTGTTCTCTTCTGGGCAGAAATATACCATCAGGCATGCTTGCTTTTCACCATCCCCTTTTTCTTCACTGCCCATCTGTTATCCATTATTCCAATCAGTGAATCATCTCATTTTTGCAGGCCAGGAGCCTCCCAACAGATAAGTTAAGGATTATATACATAGCCGTCAATGCCATCATTTACACAATTCAGGTCTGTTCAGTCTCATCTTTGCACACACTTATATACTAGCTGTAGTAGCTTCTTCTCTTCCTGTAAAACCTATCTTCATAAGTATCTAGTACCTTTTCTGTGTCCCAAGTGATGTTGCTTAGGTACATCGTCTTTCTTAACTAGCTATAAAGCCTAGAATTGCTACATCTCATTGGGCTTGTCGACAGGTTTGTATTTGGGTATACCTCGGAATCAACGACAACCCATTGGTTGAGCTGGTCAGCAAAATCTTCATAGTAGTTGTCTCTTTTGTGGCTCTTCTTGGCTTTTCAGTATATGGTGGAAGGTAACTCCACGTCCAAAGCCTTGTGCCCATATTCTATTCTCTGCCTTAATTGTTCACTATTTATTTCCTTTTCTGAATGAATTGTAAGCTCTGTTAATCTGTGATAGGCTGTTCTTCTTGCTGAGACGTTTCCCCATTGAATCTAAGGGGCGAAAAAAGAAGCTTTATGAGGTGCCTGCGCGCTTCAAAACTTGCTCTAATTAAACATATTTCCTGTTTGGTGCACATAGAACTGGCTGTTGTAAATAAATTTATCTGTTTGATTAGTTGTTCGAGCCTATCATTTGGCTGATATTTAGCCACACCAATATTAGTTCTTATTCAATACTAGAAAATGAGGAGCATTGAACACTGAATTGCTTGTTATGTTTATATGTTGTCATGTAGTCCTGTAACTGTTATATGTTGTGTTGCCTTACCCTTTTGCATAACAACTCTAATTTATGATATAACTATCCTTTAATAGTGCCTAACTAGCATGATGCATTTGTTTGTGTGTGAAACTAAAAGAGCTACAACTCTAGTGCTTTTGTTAATAGTCGGATATACAGTTGTTATTGTCATAAAACTGCAGTTAAATGTATTTGACCAATGCACAGCTATAATCTGGACCCACCTCAATCGATGGTGGATAATACTATCTTTTGTCCACCAGTTAAACATGGTTATTTTCAGCCCTTGAGAGGAATCATCGTTCTTCTCGTTATTTGTTTGTTTCAGTAATTGATTAGAATAGAAAATTGAAAAAAATCTTTAATAGTTGTGTGGTCTACAGACTTTACATTGCTTGTCACAGATTGCAACTTGGAGTGGAAACATTTAAACTGTTTTGTGGCTACAGAATTTTCATTCTACCGTTGTTTTTTTGAAATGTCACAGGTTGGGACAGTGACTGCAATCTGCTGTGCTTGTTTCCTGATAAGGTGCATAGTGGTAAGTACTTGATTCATCATGACTCATTGATAGGCATTCAAGTATCAAGAATCACACTTATTTTTCTGGTTGGTCTGAAAGGGAACTTTGATGTTGACCTATTGTGAGAACGTGAAACATATCAACTATGGAGTGTTGTGCTAAGAGCACTATATTTATGGTTTACAAATACTGTTCCGAAACATCGGACATATATATAGATATATGTGGTTTCGTTTTTTGTTCTTGTAATAACGAGAGTTTCTCCTTGCTTTTGGTTTGACTTGATTGTAGGTGGCGATATCAGCATTTGATTCTGATGTATCTCTGGAGGTTTTGGACCATCCAATTCTTGATTTCTTCTACTATATGGTAAGCAACTACTAGTCCAGTAATTAAGACATTTGGAACTGGTACATACTAGTAGAGTATCGATAAATGCCTGCCCTGGACTAGTGCTCATGTGCATTATGGATTTATGGTGTACAGTTGACAGAGATACTGCCTTCAGCTCTTGTCCTTTTCATCCTCCGGAAGCTCCCTCCTAAGCGGGTGTCAGCGCAGTACCACCCAATCAACTAGCTAGAGGCCTCCTAGTTAGTTACTACATAATATGATGTTATTATATACTACTGTACTTAGTATGTTAGTTATGGGAAAACTTTGAACTCCTCCCAAAAAGAAGAAAGAAAACAAACTAGAATTGCGCCTGGCAAGCAGGAGCGGGATGCTGGTAGTGCTTTGAGCTGTAAATGATTGAAAGCGTCAACAAGGCCTTGTTACTTGGATGGATAGTCAGCTGCTCCATTAATGATGAATGAATTTTGGTGCTTGTGTAGTATTGTATAGTTCTCTCATATGCATGCATGTTTAGAGCGTACAGAGGTGATGCTGATTTGTGTGTGTTACAGCCAAACGTTTCCATCAGTGCAGGTGCAGTGCAGTGTAATGCAATGCACGGTGTTGTCCCCAACTATATCTTGGGCCTGTTTAGCTGATAAAATGAAAATTTTTGGGTGTCATATCGGACGTTTGACCGGATGTTGGAAGAGGTTTTCGGACATGAATGAAAAAACTAATTTCATAACTCGCCTGGAAACCGCGAGACGAATCTTTTGAGCCTAATTAAGCCGTCATTAGTACATGTGGGTTACTGTAGCACTTATGGCTAATTATGGACTAATTAGGCTTAAAATATTCGTCTCGTGATTTACATGCAAACTGTGCAATTAATTTTTCTTTCTATCTATATTTAATGCTTCTGAAGATTCGATGTGATGTTTTTACGAAAAGTTTTTAGGAACTAAACATGGCCTTGGATTATAGGTAGGTGGAGAGGTAAGCCTCATCCATCAAGGGTAGTCATTTTTATTAAAAATATATTCTACGGTTCCTAATACGCCATTACAATTTCATCTATTTTTTAAAGTTGTAACGATGCTATTATAACTCTACCGCTCTATTTGAGATATGCCACTTAGCCACTACATAAAGCTCATTCGGTGTGTTTTATCAAATATCTTGCAACTACCTTATCTTCTCTCTTCCCACCGACAGGTGTTGTTGCTCGCTTAGGCGGCTCCTTCACCTCTCTACTCACTCCAACGGCGATGTGCGCAAGGTCGAGATTGGTAGCTACTCTCTTTTCTTCTCTCCTCTGTCTGATATTTCAAATAGAAATCAAAGCTAGGGTTCCGTAACAAGAAAACGGTGATATAACCGATTACGAATTTACTAGGAAAAATAGCAATAGTTAAACTTTAATATAAATAAAACTCAAGAGACCCTAAAGAGATAACTAACTATGTAACGAGGTAGGAGAACGACCAAAGAGTCCTTACTGCCGTTCTTCACCAGGTTGAGGCGCACTTTATTTGGGCCAAGGTCCCAAATAAAGTTATAGGCGCAAAGACCCATGGCAGATGGTATAACACCATATTTCTTTAATTTCTGACAACCCATAATGAATTTTAAGATGAGGCTGGATCCTTTGAAAGGAGGGATCCAAGAGCTTTTCATTATATACTTGGACACAATGAAATTCATATGCACATTTGAGGGCTGTCTAAAGTTAGCGTTGTTTTAAGTTGTTGAATTGAATTCCAGACCTGGTTATGTTTGTCCTATGGTTATGAGTTGTGGTTGTGTAACTTTCCTATACCTCATCGCTAAAGTGGTCACCTATGGCTTCCTCCGCTTAACCTTGTCTCTACCAACCATCAGCTAAAAAGTTTCGTATAAAATCTGGAATAAAACCAATTATAAAATAAAATATGATATGCCATTTTTAGCCATTTCGTTAATTAATTAGCGTGTCAACGACAATAGAATACTACTCCTTATTGTCTCGTACAGTAATGTGTCCATTACATTTGGATTCGGGACCTTGTTTTAATTAGTTTGGTTTGTAAGCCATGCATACGCAACGCATGGCTTCCCTTTGCGTCCCTTGATCGCTAGCTTCTTCTCTTCTTCTGGGAGTCCTCATGCGCCATGGCCACGCTGACAGGTGGGGCCGGGACGGAGAGAGCAATTACTCCTAACCAGGGAAGAGAGAGAGTACATAGTAGACGTAGCTGACGGGTGGGGACCGCGTGTGCGGTGGGGTGGGTCCCGGTGCGCAGTGAGAGAAAGGGGACAGGGTGGCGAGGGGGGGATTCAAGTGCAGTAATGCACGTATTTAATGGCCACATCAATACTCAGCCTCCCCACACTCTTTTCCTCTACTATGCCTACCCTCACTTTTCTACCCCCAAAACCCTCCCTCCCTTCTCCCTTCTTCAAACATGGACTACTCCTACTAAAACTCTGATGATTTAATTGCCTAAGTCTTTCTCTTATAGTAGTACTCTCTCCGCTTCACAATGTAAGTTATTCTAGCATTTTTCATATTCATATTAATATTAACATCAATATGAATGTGGAAAATGCTAAAATGACTTACATTGTGAAACGGAGGAAGTAGTATTTTACTACTAGTGCATTTATAATAAATATCGATAATATCATTATTATATCACATCTAAATATGCAAATATCGATAATATCATTATTATATCACATCTAAATATGCAAGTGTGTCAATACTTAACTCTCTTTTCTTTGAAAGTTTGACTTGAAACATATCAAAAACAAATTTAAAAAAATTTGAGAGGCAGTCTTTAATCTTTTTGACAATTCAAGATGAGTATTTAATATTGGTTAACATGAGGATATATATTTTTTATAATAAATTCATGTCATAATTATATTTACGTGAAAAAGGAGTTTCATGTCTGGACACACTTGAGCACTTTATTTGCAACATGTAGCGGTACATAAAGAAGCACCGCCACACATAGGATACATTTTGTCGAATGAACGCTCGAGAGGGAACCCGTTCCGTTAAGGTGAACGCGAGCCAGTTAGTTATAGGCTCGACAGTCCAGCTAGAATATCTTTTTATAGACATTGAAATAACGTGAAGTAAAGACGAGCAATTAGAGGATTGAAGGGTATGCGAGATAGAGGGAGATGTAGAAGACAGAGATAGGGGTAACAGATTGTCGACGTTTGATGTATCGACTACGGTATTTATATGGTATGGGGATAATTGGTACTAGAATATACGCGAGACTGAGGTAAAAGAGATGGAGATAGGGATTTTTATATAGGTTCGGGCCCCTGAATTGTCAGGTAATAACCCTACATCCTATTGGCCGAAGCCGGTATTGCTCTTATTCATGATAATCACACCAGTACAATATTTGGGGTAACCTATCTAACTGTTGTCGATCTGGCGGTCTGACGATCTGACTCGTAGTCGACAACAGGGTAGCCTTCCTCCTCGAATCCGTGCCCAGCGAGATCAGAGATAGCGCTTTCGTCTCTCCTGACAGTATCCGGAGACACCGTAGGGTACCAGCCGTGCTTATCCCTGAAGTCGATATCCGGCGGCGTGTCTTGGCGTATGTAGGCTTCTATGTTGTGGCTTCTATGTCGATTGTGTTGGGTGTTGATCCTTGTCTCCCCTCTCCTCCTAGGGGGGCTTATATTTATACCCATAGGTGTCGCTTTGTCCAAGTAGAACTAGGGAAACCAATATGGATATAATCTGAGTAGTCCTTGTCGTTTCCATGTAGAACTCTGGTTGTCTTTCCTTATCCGGAACTCCTCATATATCCGAAGGTTGCTTCCGTATAGAACATGTATGTAGTGGGTCCTGCCGAGATTTAGTCAACTACTATTAGGTATGTGGTATCCATAACCCTGACACAGATTGATTTTTGTTTTCAATCGGTGTTGGCTGCGAGTATATAATTTAATAATGGAGTATTTATTTGTTTTAGGAGGAGTGAGGGAGTCACAAGTCAAAAGGCATGCATTTGGAATTGGAGTAGAAAGGGGGCGGGTGTACGTAGCGAATTTGCAGGTTTTGCTGCTGTCCGCCTGCCTGCCTACTTTCTCCACTTTTTTCTCCTCCTCCTCCTCTTCTTCTTCCTTCGTTTCGCCTCCTCTACTCTTCTAAGTTCCAACTTCCAACTAGCTCGACTCAAGTGAAGAGTCCGCCGCCTTTCCCTCCTCGCCGCCGCTCGGATGGGGATGGCCCCCGCCGGTCGCCTCCTCCTCATCTCCTGCCTCCTCTGTCAGTAGTTTGCCTCTTGATCCCTCCTCTGTTTCCTTTCCTTTCCAGTTTCCCATGCATTTCTTCTCTGTTTCACCAAATCTAATTGGGTTGTTTCTTGATTTTGATCTGTATGTGTGTGGCCACTGCTCTGAATCCGTTAATTAAATAAATATAAATGCGCAGGTGTGCCCAATTCATTTGGATTTGCATTTGCTGTGGAGGAGGAGGAGGACGGCAGCGGGCTGATGCCACAGCTCTCACCCACCGGCTCTCCCAACCCCTTGGTTCCCTTCCTCGCGCCCGCCCCTCTCGCGCCATTCTTCAACACCACCCCTCCTAACTTGTCAGGTACCCTTAATTACCTCTCCTCCTTCGATCTTCTTACACTTCTCTTATAGGAGTATAATATATAGGAGTATTAATTAATTAAGAGTACAAATAAGTAATTGCCAATGTAATTTTGGTGGATGCAGGCAAGTGCTCATTGAATTTTACTGCTGTCGGTGACCTCATCACCACCACTGCTGTCGACTGCTTTGCGTCCTTCGCCCCGTTCCTCGCCAATGTCATCTGCTGCCCCCAGCTCCAGGCCATGCTCACCATCCTCATTGGGCAGTCCAGCAAGCAGACTGGCTCCCTTGCTTTGGATCCCACCGTCGCTACCTACTGCCTCTCCGATGTTCAGCAGCTATTGTTGAGCCAGGGCGCTAGTGATGAGCTCCACAACATTTGCTCCCTTCACCTCTCCAATGTCACCGAGGGATCATGCCCCGTTAGCACCGTCGATGCCTTTGAAGCTGTCATCGACTCCTCAAAGCTCCTCGAGGCCTGTCACAAGATTGATCCTGTCAACGAGTGCTGCAGCCGCACCTGCCAGAATGCTATCAACGATGCCTCCCAGAAGATCTCTTTCAAAGACGGCGGTTTGACAAGCTACGCTGGTAGCCCCAAAGTTGATAGCTGCAGGAATGTCGTGCTCAGATGGCTATCCAGTAGGCTTGGCCCATCATCTGCAAAGCAAATGCTCAGGCAGATATCTAACTGCAATGTCAATGGAGGTACCCCCTCAAACTAGCAACTTCAATCTACTACCGGCCTTTACAATGCCATCAGCCAGTATGTTATGTTCTTTACAATAGACCACACACCCTGCTCCTGATCTATATTGCTTAGCATTTATTTAGCTTAGTTATTATTTAGTCCCTCTATAAATCAAACTGTTAGAAGTGCACCAGTCTGTTCTCACATCTTGCCCTGTGTAGTTTGCAACTGTATTCATGTAAACTTGCTTTCACGTGTCACTATATAGCACTATCCCCTGCAAGTTAGATTGATTTAGTTGAGTTTATATAGGCTATAGGGAATCAATGTTGGTATGTAAGTATCAAACTGATAGAAAGACCATTGATTCAGACAAGCACCAAAGAGGGAAAAATTAGTTCAAGTTGATGGACGCATAAGAATAAAATAGCTCACTCTTACTGTCTTACATGACCATAAAGGTATGCAAGTGCTGCAGACAGATCCTTTGGATTTAAGGGCGGCAGTTGATTTTCTTCCAAAGAGAACACCGTAATTTAAAGCAAAGCACTAAACAATCCATACATGATATATCTACATCTAAGCATAGTCTCTTGTGTCCATGTGGGTCTTTCGGAACACTTTGCTGCCATTGGAAGTTGACTGCATGGAACTCAATAGGAGCCTTAGTTCTTTACTTCAAGTATCTAGGTCAGTGCTATCATAATATGCTAGGTTCTGAAAACATGTGGGCCGTTGCCACTTATATTAGGTCTGATGGATCTCAGATGTATGAACTGGATGGAAATAATAAGAATCTTTAGTACACTAGAACTGTCATGTATGTACATTGAACAAGTTACAGAAATTTTCTGTACCTAGTCTTTATGACAAATTGTATTTTTCTTTTTTTTATCACCATCATTTTAACATAAGCAATTATGTCTTAAGTTTTGTTCTCACTGTTCAGTGCTTGTGTTCTTTATGCTGAGAAATTGTTTGCGTTTCAACTCTCCAGTTTGTCCACTAAGCTTTCCAGACACGAGTAAAGTGGCAAAAGAGTGCAGTGGAACTGTCAAGAATGGTACTTCATGTTGCAAGGCTATGGACAGTTATGTATCTCACTTGCAAAAGCAAAGCTTCATAACAAATTTGCAAGCTTTAGATTGTGCCCAATTCCTTGGTGACAAGTTGCAAAAGATGAATGTCAGTATGAATGTTTATAGCTCATGTCAGATAACTCTCAAGGACTTTTCTCTTCAAGGTAAGTTAGAAAAGAACATTCAGTTGTTTGTGCATTAAGATCATATTTTAAATGTCATTTGTGTATTTCTTGGAAACTGAATTGATGGAGTTTCTTTCCGTCGTTCAACTTACGTGTTTGACCGATTGGACCACCCTGCTGATTTGACAAACAGTTGGATCTCAAGGTATGTGAACATTTTCAATTATTTTTACCGGTCATATAACAGTTTATATTAACGAGAGTATGTGCATCTTCAGTTCTTCTGTTTGACTAGCCTAGCATTGGTAGAAAAATTTTTGGAAATATACTTGTTTTTGACTGGAATTGCAAGAATAGGCTGATTAGGGGAAGTTTTGCGGAAATATACTGGTGTCGCGCCTTGAATGAGCGAGAGAGCGATATCACGTAAACCATGCGCGAAAGCGGCGGCGCTATCGCTAATTGAGAGAGAGAGAGAGAGAGGGGTAATGCGTCGGTCTCGCATTCGGAAAGCGCGAGAACGAAGCGGTATCGCACTTTTGTAAATCGAAAGCGTGGGCCGTCCGACGCCGCCTGACGTACGCGGGCCACGAAGCGGTCTCGAGCTTTGAGTGCGCGATAACGCGTGCGGTATCGCTGTCGGCTCGCGCGAGACCGTAGTGGCGGGGGCCGTCTGACGCACGTGAGGCCCGGAGCAGTCTCGCGCTATGCGCCAGCGAGAGCGCGGTCGGTCTCGCGCTTTGCGCGAACGAGAGCGCCAGCGGTATCGCGGTCGGCTAGCGCGATACCGTTGCGGCGTGGCCCACCCCCCTAATCGGCTGATAATCCCGTAGGTGGCGACAGCAACGGCTTCGGTCAATATCGCGCTTCGGGAGCGCGAGAGCGGTCAGCTAATTGCGCATGCAAATCAGGTGCAAGTCGTTAATATTTCATGAGCCGTTGCTATGTAGAAAGTATAATTTTTTTTCATATTTTTTTATTATGTGTGCAACATATATACATAAATGAACATGAGAATATGTATATATTGAAAATAGGCAAAGATTGTGTACGCGGCTATGAGAAGAAAAATAAATATCTTGGAATTTGCAAAATAATGATATCAGTTACAGATACATATAGGAAAGAAACAATATATTACCTATAGAAAAATAGAAATTGAATATATATTTATTAAAAATATATAAAGGAGTAGAGAGATCATTCAAGAGCAATTTTTACAAAGTTAACAAAGAATATGAATTTAGAATATGTCATATTCACAGAGAAAATCACATTTGCATATTCATAGACTCGGATCTTATGACAAGAACCGTGTAGCGAGTTAACGAACTACCTAGTTCTTGCCACAAGATCGGGCCTAAGAATATGCAACACCGAGTTTATGAATTTGCAGTAGTAGGTCATATTCACAAAAGGACGCTGGAACTTGAAAAAAAGAGTGGGTGTAAGAATGTATTAAAAAAATCACATTTGTATATTCATAGACTCGATCTTAGGGCAGGAACCGTGTAGCGAGTGAACGAACAAGATAGAGCGAGTTCACCAACTACTCAGTTTTTGCCTCAAGATTGGGCCTAAGAATATGCAACACGAAGTTGGAACCAGCAGAACGTTTATGGAGAAGAGATGTAGTTGTGTGCTAGGTTTGGTTATTTATAGGGGATGGGAAGAAGCTGCGCGTAGTCTCAATTATTAGAAAGAGATGACGACGCGTCGGACTGCTTCACTAATCAATCCAATAATTACAAAGAGAGGACGCACTTTCGGCGCATCAGACTGTTTCACTCGTGAAGTTACTAATTACAAAGGGACACAGGTTTCTTCAGTCATGCCATGCCTATCGAGAAAAGTGATTGGACACTGTCACTTTCGGCGGCACATGCTGCTTCTTGTTTTCTTTAGTTATTACAAAGCGACGACGGCACTTTCGGCGCGGCGGAATCTTCACTGTTAAATGTGAATGATTGATTCTCTGTGAAATGTCCCGTGATTGGAAAGAGAGGATGCCATTTTAGGTGCGTATGATTGTATCTCTGTGAAAAGAAATTAGTGTGTAATGTAAGTCATAGTAGTAAAAAATAAAAGTAATATCCAATTTGAATCGCACGAGTAACATCGAAACTGCACTATTAATTTAATTAGTGAGACTATAATTTGTGTTAGCTGTCATACGAAAAATTATTAGTTAACCAAAAATCATGTGTTAACTGCCTGCAAAATAGGGCGTAAAAATATGATATATTTCGGAACTACGAAACATTGTACATAACATGAAGAATAACCAGTACAAAGAAATAATGTTCACTGCTAGTAATAGAAAGCCAAAAGCATAACAAGGTCCAGTTAGGTTTGCCAGCGAACTTAAAGACATAATGTTCACTTCTACTCGTCATCATTGTTAGTCATAGTCCTAGATGTTCCAGCTCGCTTTTTTGTAGTCTTTTTCCTTGCTCCTGCGGCATGTCGAGGGCCTGAGATTGACAGACGGTTTAGCTCATGGCGCTCACGGTTAGATCGACGCGGGTCATTGTTGTTTCCTTCTAAATCGCCAACCTCTGGTTGTGTGGGCTGTCACCTGGGCGCATCAACAATTTGCGAAGCCCAAAGCTCATTGGGTACCGATGACGACCCTCCACCGAAGCTAGACATGTCGCCGTACGATGCCGTGTAAGGCATCTGACTGCTTGCACCCGAGGATCTAGACGAGCGAGGACTACCCACTATTGAGTAAATATATGATATGCAGCTAGCACCCTTGACTCACTTGACGGTACTACTCGCATTGAAATATTTTGTTGCATCGGTTTGTCGTTATACATGGGCTTGCACTTTCTTACATTGTTGCTACCTTCCATGCAGACCGATATTGCAGGGGAGTTAGTAAGGGATGCGAAAACTTTGTGGGAGAAGCTTAGAGATGGTATCGCGGGTACTAACCAGGAAGTTATAGCCGCGGTTGACTCCCTCCGTAGAAAAGGTAAGCGAATCATGCGGCTCGCATCGTGCCGACATTCCTCGGACGTCTATACTCTGGCAACATCAAGGACGTTCGAGCCAATGCCGGAGCGTCCCTCTACCTCTTCCCGGCCGTCCACCTCAGCCCAGCCTTCAGCCTCCGCGCGACGATCCAATGATGGTCGGGCTACAGGAAGGTCAACTTCGTTTCGTGAGGCACCCATTATTCCGATAAATTATGTAGAAACTTGAGGTAGAACCTAGTGGGTGTAGAATTTATCAGAATAGTGGGTGCCTCACGAAACGAAGTTGACATTCCTGTAGCCCGACCATCATTGGATCGTCGTGCGGAGGCTGAAGGGTGGGCTAAGGTGGACGGCCGGGAAGAGGTAGAGGGACGCTCCGGAATTGGCTCGAACGTCCTTCTTGATGTTGCCGAGTATAGACGTCTGAGGAATGTCGGCACGACGAGAGCTGCATGATTCGCTTACCTTTTCTACGGAGGGAGTCGACCGCGGCCATAACTTCCTGGTTAGTACCCGCGATACCATCTCTAAGCTTCTCCCACAAAGTTTTCGCATCCCTTACTAACTCCCCTGCAATATCGGTCTGCATGGAAGGTAGCCACAATGTAAGAAAGTGCAAGCCCATGTATAACGACAAACCGATGTAACAAAATATTTCAATGCGAGTAGTACCGTCAAGTGAGCCGGAGGGTGCTAGCTGCATATCATATATTTGCTCAATAGTGGGTGGTCCTCGCTCGTCTGGATCCTCGGGTGCAAGCAGCCGGATGCCTTACACAGCATCGTACGACGACATGTCCAGCTTCGGTGGAGGGTTGTCATCGGTATCCAATGAGCTTCGGGCTTCGCAAACTGTTGATGCGCCCCAGGTGACAGCCCACACAACCAGAGGTTAGTGATTTAGAAGGAAACGACAATGACCCGTGTCGATCTAACCGTGAGCGCCATGAGCCAAACCGTGTGTCACTCTCAGGCCCTCGACATGCCGGAGGAGCAAGGAAAAGACTATAAAAAAGCGAGCTGGAACATCTAGAACTATGACTGACATTGATGACGAGTAGAAGTGAACATTATGTCTTTAAGTTCGCTGGCAAACCTAACTGGACCTTGTTATGCTTTTGGCTTTCTATTACTAGCAGTGAACATTATTTCTTTGTACCGGTTATTCTTCATGTTATGTACGATGTTTCGTAGTTCCTAAATATATCATATTTTTACGCCCTATTTTGCAGGCAGTTAACACATGATTTTTGGTTAACTAATAATTTTTCGTACGACAGCTAACACAAATTATAGTCTCACTAATTAAATTAATAGTGCAGTTTCGATGTTACTCGTGCGGTTCAAATTGGATATTACTTTTACTTTTTACTACTATGACTTATATTACACACTAATTTCTTTTCACAGAGATGCAATCATACGCACCTAAAATGGCATCCTCTCTTTCCAATCACGGGACATTTCACAGAGAATCAATCATTCACATTTAACAGTGAAGATTCCGCCACGCCGAAAGTGCCGTCGTCGCTTTGTAATTACTAAAGAAAACAAAGAAGCAGCATGTGCCGCCGAAAGTGACAGCGTCCAATTACTTTTCTCGATAGGCATGGCGTGACTGAAGAAACCTGTGTCCCTTTGTAATTATTAACTTCACGAGTGAAACAGTCTGACGCGCCGAAAGTGCGTCCTCTCTTTGTAATTATTGGATTGATTAGTGAAGCAGTCCGACGCGCCGTCGTCTCTTTCTAATAATTGAGACTATGTGCAGCTTCTTCCCATCCCCTATAAATAACAACCAAACCTAGCACACAACTACGCTATTTCACATCGCGATATCGCCATGTTATCGCACTTCCAAACAGCGAACATCGGTATCACACAGCGATACCCATGGTATATTCCCGCAAAACCTTCGCAATCCGGTATATTTTTGCAAAATCATCCGATAAACAGTATATTTTCAAAAAAATTTCAGCATTGGTAGTGGTAAGGAAATCTTTGCTATGTGAGGGAAGTCTATTTATTCTGTCAAAATAAATGAAGTCATTTTCACCTTGCCCAAAACAAAATCAGGAAAAGGAACCGAACTCTGAATATTCTTTCCTGTCCACTAACCTAGCTAGGTGAGGGTGGGAAAAGAAACCATTCTACCCTACATTTCTGAATATTGGGCTGCTCATTTTGATTTTGTTAAGGGATTGTAAAATGATCATGATTTGCTTGGCGTGGGAGTTAGTACATGAATTAGATTGATCAGCTTGTACCAATTGTTTAACTGAACTTGTTTTTATAGCAAAGTGCTGCTTTTTTAGTCTGCATTGTAGATTTACGTTGTGTTACCTTGACAAAATTCTATTATACTGACCAAACTGTATGCAATAGCGTTTTTGAGGCTTCACTAGCTACATTGAATTTAACCTTGTCAACTTGTGAATTGCGTATCAATTGATTGCATTAATTGTTCCTGATTAGTTTTTTTATCGTTTTATGCAGAATCTGGATGCCTTCTTCCAAGTATGCCCTCGGATGCATCTTTTGACCCAGCTACTGGGATTAGTTTCACATGCGATCTGAATGATAATATTGCTGCCCCATGGCCATCTTCTATGCAAGCATCGTCTTCTTCATGCAATAAATGTATGTTGTATATCTATTGATCATGTATTCCTATGCGCTAGTTGTATTTACATGTTTACGCACGTGCGCCTTTTTTGTTGTTTCTTAGGCTCCTTTTGGATCATAGGAAAAGTTTCCTGATCCCTGCAGGAATTGAACTATTTTAAAGTGAATTTAATGCCAAATTCCTATGTTGCAGACAGGTCCAAAAAAAGTTACTCAGCCAAATAGATTAGTTGTGAGCTTAAAAGTTGAACCCTTCTTTAATTCATCTACTGTTATTTTTCTACCTTCTTCTGTAAAAACAATATGCAATTAAGTCTGAGTTGCCAATTCTATGGTAGAGTGTAAAATATTCCCCTTGATTCCCTCGCTAAAAAAATTTTAAAACCTTCTGTTTCTATGTTGCTGCTTCCTCTTTTTTATTTTTTTTGATCATTTTGAAGAAAGTTGTGGATTTTTTTTTTCACTTGTTGAGGGCATCCTCTTCTTCTGGGAAAGAAACCTCTTTGATCAATAAATTGCTTGTCTCTATACAGCTTTTGTCCTGGCTTTTTAGGTTCTGATTTTTTAGCGGTTCTAGCAAAGCTGTAGTGACACCTTTACAGTTGCATGGTGTCACAAGCTTCTTGTGGTGCTTGAATGTATGTGCTCTGTTGCTTTTATTTATTTTAGGTTCTCACTGTAAGTTCTGTTATTTTGTATTCAGCTGTTAATATTCCAGAGAGACCTGCTGCGACATCGGCACAAAATGGTAAGGCAACATGTTTATTTTTCTCTATCCATTCCGTGGAAACAGTATTCAACAATCAACACTATACTTGAGCTATGATATATCTCTGAATCAGTATAGGAGCTTTATATTTTGTGGTCATATGAATTAAAGGTGATGTTTCCTGTCGCAGGTGTCAACCAGAACAGACTGGAGCTTAGCCTACTTATTTATCTGGGCACCCTTGTTGTTGCTATTTGGCTACAAGTCTAGTCCAGTTAGCGAATTATTAATTTCAGATTCAGGAGAGCTGATTGGAATTGTCAACTGCGGAGTTTTTGTGCTTGATGATCACATCAAAGTGTTGTAGGTTACATGTGCTTTTTAGTTCCTGATAGCTGTTAGTGTAATTTCTTGTAAGCCATATAATAGTAGTAATAATTTATTATGCCTTTGTATAGAGAGAAAGAAGGGAAAAAAATTAAAGGGTGTGAAATGCGCAGGACAATTTAGCAAGACCACTGTTGTCTGATGGGAGTACATCATATTGGGATGGACTACACTCCATTATTGTTTAGAATTTATATTATTCAATTGTTCATTTTCTGATGTATGAATTAATCATGACAGAGAATCATATAATCTCATCTGAACTTTGACAAGGCTCTGTAGCATTGAATTGGACAATTAGCAGATGGAGAGGGATTCCTGTGAATGTGGACATGCCTATGCCAGTTGTTGCTCACCTGAACAGATAAATGGAAGGAGGCTGCTTACCGTGATCTCTCCTTCTTGCAGACACACACACACACACACACAGCAGGAAGATTGATTCGTCCGTTCAAGATACAGGTTCTGCAGCCTAGCAACAGTTTAATTTGTGCTGTTGCAGTTGCATGACAGCTTACCGTGACATTACAAGCTAGTAGGTCCATGCCACTAGTACAGATAAGCAGACACATGGAGTAGTATAAAGAAGGATAAATAAAGAAACGTGCAGAGATAGTTGTATATGGGTTGACAAGCAGATTATGCCATGAACTACCTGGGGGACCAAAATTAAATCAGCAAGCATTGCATAGTATGTTATGTCTCAATATACAGTAAGAGAAATGGCGTGTAGCCTGCTTGCCTGAAACGCCAGAAGAAGCAGCAACAAACTGGTGCTCATACTGTAGTACTTTGCGAGATCAATATGCAAAAGTAATACTCCTATATATGTGCCATATATATAGTCCATTATATATATGTTGGAACTTGGAGTGAGTACGTAATCGATCGATGTAGGTCATTAGAATACATATATTATCCAATATAGTACTTCCTCCGTTTCGAAATGTTTGACACCGTTGACTTTTTAGCACATGTTTGACCGTTCGTCTTATTCAAAAACTTTTGTGAGATATGTAAAATTATATGCCTGCATAAAAATATATTTAACAATGAATCAAATGATAGGAAAAGAATTAATAATTACTTAAATTTTTTAAATAAGACGAACGGTCAAACATGTGATAAAAAGTCAACAGCGTCAGATATTTCGAAACGGAGGGAGTAGTATTATAGTTTAACCCCGACTTGATATATCAGGCAGGCAGGTGCACATCAGCGTTGGGTAAGGATCCAAATCTGCATGTATCCCACAACGCCAACATCAGCGTCAAACATGGCCCTGTCAATTTGGCATATAGTATACACTTCCTCCGGTATTTTAACGTATGACGCCATTGACTTTATAACCAACAACCAACGTTTGACCACTCGTCTTATTCAAAAATTTATGTAAATATAAAAATACTTATGTCATGCTTAAAGAACATTTGATAATAAATCAAGTCACAATAAAATAAATTATAATTATATAAATTTTTTAAATAAGACGAAAGGTCAAACGTTTGTCAAAAAGTCAACGGCGTTATACATTAAAATATGGATGGAGTATATAATATGGTTTCCCTCCCTGATATATATATTCTAGTCCTCTTACAAGAGTCTAGATATAGATCAGAGATTTAATCAGATGTATACTTTTCTATCCTGCTTTATATTCCCCTAGATAGCTAATTAATTAAACTAGAGCTAGCTCCCCTTAAGTTCCATGCATAAACTAGGAGTACTCTAGTGTCGATCGTACTCATGGATGCGATGTTATTTTATTAATCGAATGCAGATCTAGCAAGCAAGCACAATGGCATGAAGTAGCTAGCCTAACCAGGTTGAAATATATGTAATCTCAGTGAGAAAAAAGTGTTAGGCAGGATAGTATCTATCAATATCATCGCCTGTATAATCACAGATTCCTTTACATGTCCTTCTTTCGATCTTTACATGTACACTATAGTGATGAATAATGCAACCTAAAAATATATATTACGCACACGCAAATAGCTATCAACATGAATTTTACGAGATCGGAGCGGATACGATACGTACTTATTTGAAAATCGAGGAGTTGCTGGATACGTATCGGAGCGTATCCGTACTCCGTCGGCGTGTCGGATATTGATACGTGGCCTGAGTGGTGTATCGGGGTAACGTAGCCTGTCACTACCCCAGGCAAGAGGAGGAGCAGCAGCAGGAGGCAGCAGAGAAAGAAGAAGAGTAGGCAACACTGTTGGCGGTTGGTGCGGGGCAAGGGAAATATGGCGAGCATCTCAGTTCCAACATTTCTCTACTATTATAAAAATTAAAGATATTTTTATGAGTTAGATTTTAAGTTCGTTTGCTTTTGTAAATACATATCCGTATTTGAGTTAGTTTTAAGATCGTTCACTTTTGGTAATACAAAAGGAATCATATAAAAAAATATGTTTAAAAAAACTCGCATGTTAATTTGAGACGATCGGACTCCTAACTGCAACTCATGATTTTCTAAAATATATATATATCCAAGAGAACTCCCACCATGAATTTCATCTTAACTAAACCATATAACAATAATAGGACTAAAATAGACTTCACCTGTTGCAACGCATGGACATTTTTTCTAGTCAAGAAAAAAAGAAAGATGTATAATGTTAGATCTTGGTAGGTTCAAAAATATAACAATAGTGTAGATTGATCGATATCGTCATAGAAATTGAAAGAAAGTTATATATGAAATCTAAGTGTGGTATAAAAATCTAAATTGTTTTCCACTAGTCTAAGAAAATAAAAAGGAGGCAATCTTTTATAAGAATCTGTAGATTTTACACCAAGAAAAAGAAGTTGAAACACAAAAATTTTTGGACATAAATGTGGGGAGGAGGAAGAATGGATGGACGTGGTGAAGAGTGAGGAATCTAAAATAGTAGAACTATTGAGGGCATGGCCAGCCAAGCAAACCAAATGACTTGTTGCTCATCATCATCATCATGGAAATACTCTATTTTGTATATGCACATGCACATGGGCATACAATGCAATCCCCAAAGGCCAAAGGCCAAAGGAAGGAGAGAGAAAGAGAGAGTTGTAGTTGTAGTAGTACCTCCTCCTTCTCCTGTGATGGTCTCCCGGCCTCACACATGACATGTGCATGCGAATTGCCAAATGCAAACGCAATTCGTCGGATCCTCCAATCCAATAACTCTGCCGCCGCCTTCCCCTTTCCATGATCCCCTCCGCCCCTCGCCGGACCGCCTGCCCCTGCCGGTCCCGTCGCCGCAATGTCGCCGCTGGGAAGGCGCCTCCGCTCGTCGCCTCGTCGGTCACGGCCAGGGCCCTCGCCGCCGGCCTATGGAGGCTGCGCCAAGCGGAGCGCTCCGCCGCCGCCGCTGCTCGCCGGCAAGACAACCAGGTGCGCGCTCCTCCCTCGTCATCATCACTCGTTGACTGGATGGATGCATCATTTCATTTGGGGACATTCTTTTTCCCCTTTGTGTTTATTCATGCAAGAGATTTAATCCGTTTTCGATCGTCACGCGATTTAATGCCTTCTTCTTCATCATCATCTTTTCTTTTTCTTAAAACAAATATAGATCAAATCTAGTTGGTTGTAATTTTGACTTTTGTCCACTAAAGTTGCCTCCTTTTGTGAGTTTTGACTGCCCAAAGATTATTTTTTTCCCCTTCACTCGGCGGCGCCCCTTAATTTGATGATGATGATCCTAGTCTTGTTTGGCAGGCATGACTAATTTGGTCTGTAAATTCAATTCAGGTCCAAATTGATTGTCCTTTATGTACTTGTCTTGTGTTTGATTCCTTGATCAGGGCCTGACATTTGTGTACTACTGCTAGTACCTGCTGTTGCTGGTCCCTTCCTTTTTATTACCCCCAATTCCCCAAAGCTAAATGCAGCAAGCAACTATAACTGTAATAATCCGATAGATCGATTGGCTCTTGATAAAAATAAAAAAAACCAAACCATATGCCAAATCATAGAATGAAAATGCAATCAGCCATGTAAGCTTTGTGTGTGTGGGGGTGAAAAAGATATGAACGAGGAGTCTGATTGGGGATTGCTTTTTTTTTGGTGCAGCCTAGGCCTAGCCTCCTTGGTGTTGGTGGACGGAAAGGGAAAGCGCCGAGTGAAATTCATTTTGGAATTGGGAGGAAGCAGCAATGTTGTAGGAGCCATGGCAATGGCAATGGAATCTTAGACAAGGTACACACTACATATAAGTACTAGTAGTAGATTGCAATTGGCAATACTAGCAATGAACTGATGATGATGTATGTATGGATCAGATTGAGGCGGCCTGCTCTTCTTCATATTCATATTGTGGTTCCATGGAGAAGGCAACCAAATGGGACAATGGCAAGAAGCAGAGCTTGGTGAAGAAGGAAATTGGTTCCAGCAGCAGCAGGAGGATGCGATCATTGGAGAATGCGCTGGAGAAGGCGCGAGCAGAGATTGTTGAGATGGAGGAGGAAAAACGGTTGATGAGCAGGAAGCTGAGGAAGGTGGCGGAGGAGAAGGCGGCTGCGAGGGAGGAGCTGAAGCTGGAGCGTCATCACCGGCGGGAGCTGGAGGGCGCGAACGGCAAGCTGGTGAAGGAGGTGGCGAGGGCGAGGCAGAGGGTGGAGACGGAGCGGAAGGCGCGGGAGCTGATGGAGGAGGCGTGCGAGGAGCTGAGCAAGGAGGTGGAGGAGGACCAGGCGGAGGTGGAGGCGCTCCGCCGCGAGTGCGTGTCGATGCGGGAGGAGATGGAGGAGGAGCGGCGGATGCTGCAGATGGCGGAGGTGTGGCGGGAGGAGCGGGTGCAGATGAAGCTCTCCGACGCCAAGGCGGTGCTGGAGCACAAGTACGCCCACCTCAACACCCTCCAGTCCGAGATGGAGTCCTTCCTCCTCCGCCATGGCCACCGCACCCACAACCACGCCCAGCACCGCCGCACCGTCGACATGTTGGCCGCATCCGTCCGCGGCGCCAACGCCGACGACGGCCTCTTCCCCCCCGCCAACACCTACAAGAGCCCCCACGCGCCCGACGACGTGGACAAGGTGTTCGACCACTTCCGCCGCAACAACACTGACACCTCCAGCAGTGTTGCCAGCCCAGCAACCGACCTTTTCCTAGAAAAACTGGAGGACGACGATGATGGTGGCTGGCCATGGGAAAGGGAAACCCCTCGTCCTCCTCCTCATCATACTAGCAATGCTGCTTGCAGTAATAGCAACGACCATGGCGGGAGGAGCGGAGTAACGGAGGAGGAGGGCGGGTCCGGCCGGAGCAGGCGGTCGGGGAACTTCAACACAGCGCTGATACGCAGGCTGTGGCAGTCAGCCATCAGCGAGAGCAGGAGGAAGACAGCAGCTTCAGCTTCAGGGAGAAACAGAGTCTTGCACAACGGCTTCTCACCATCGAGGTCCAGTACTGTGGTCGATCAAGCAGGATCAGCAGCTATGGAGAAGGAGAATGAGATTAATAGCAAGAATAAGAAAAAGAAGAAGAAGAGCCTGATGGAGAAGCTGATGGAGGCGAGGATGGACGATCATCACACTGCAGACAAGCCTTGCCAACCACAGATTATCAATTATGCAAGCTAACAACACACAGATTATTACGGACTACCTTATTACCAGTTCAAAATGCACGGATATAGTACATCTAGCTCCATCCATTGATACAAGACAACATCATGTAAGTATATGCACATTCATATGCTGGTGTATGTATGTACTTAGTAGTATATCTCATCTCTTCTCTGTACATTATATATTCGCTTTATTACTCACTCCATTGTACAGACTACACAATACTGATCGATCCAATCATCCCATCCACACATCTATGGTCCTTACGCAAGGGCCAAGTCTCGCTGTACATATGGACCTCATTTGCTACCTACCTCTTTGTTGGTCATTTTCCTCCATATGCGTAGGCTAAAGTCTATTGACCCTCCCTGAAACTTAGCGAGTTTCTTTTTAGGAGTAGCTATATTCGTGGCACCATATTTTTCACCAAAAATAGTCGGATCCTTTTTACACTATAAATCACCTACACTATACCGCTAAATTTATTTGTCATTCAAAAGTTTGAAATAATAATATACTAGAGTTACCGTGTAATTATATTGTAAGTGCAATGTAAGTACTGTGTAAGTGCACTCTAGTTTTTCTATTTTATCTGCCACTTCCTCACCTCATCTTTGTGCTCTAGCTACTTCCTCCGTTTCACATAACGTAAGACTTTATAGCATTGCCCACGTTCATATATATGTTAATGAATATGTGGGCAATGCTAGAAGGTCTTATATGTATTATTCTAAAATTTATTATAAATATGTAAAAGTATAGGTTAAGATTATAATTTCTCTGACGATAAAACACATTAAAAAATAGATACTTTTAACTTTTTAAATAAAACAAATGATCAAACGTCACGTTAAAAGTCAACGTGTCATATATTAAAAAACAGATTAGCACGTTTATACAGCGCAACACAAGTAGGGGTGATAAGTTAAATGGAGGTTGCAACAAGGAATTGACAATCATATGATCAATATATCTGTGCAAGCTTCTACAAGCATACATACATACAAACATGTAGGAAGAACCTGGATCAATTCAGTGGTCTCCCATCCCATGCATCCAATTGTACAATTAATTATCAATCAGCAATACTAGCAACTAGTTACATACTCCTCCGCTAGTATATGTGTATGTATATATATGATCACTATATATACTGGCATGCATGCATCAATAAAGGCACTTATAGTTATGAAGCTAGCTTAGCTTAGCTTAGCTGCTAGTACTAACCATAACCAGTGGAGTATACTGGAGTAGCAGAGAAGAAATGAAGAACTAGTAGTAGAGTAGATGGATCGAGATTGAAATAATGAAGAAGGAAGAAGAAATGAAAGCAATAATTAAGGAAGGTTTGCTTATGAAGGAATGGATGGGGGATGCATGAGAGATCGATCAGATCTCGTAGGACATGCCGACTTTGAGGAGTTGGCTCCTGGGGATGGCGAGCATCTTGTCGCCCTGCCTGCAGTTGCGGCGGAGGAAGGAGTAGGCGTAGTTGACGACGAGCTTCTTGAGGAGGGAGGAGTGAGGCCTCGCCACCACCTCGCTCTCCCCGAGGATGAACACCACCCCTTTCTCCATCTCCCTCTGTATGAACCGCTGCTCCTCCTCGATCCGCGCCATCTCCTCCAGGCTCATCTTCACCGCCACCGCCATCAGCTGCCGCCCGCTCGCCGCCATCGTCCCCATCTCCGAGAACGACTCCGCCGGAGTAAGCATCTCCTCCGCGTAAACGGAGCGGCGCTGCTGCTCTCCCGTGGATGCCGAGTACTGAAGCAGCTGGCCCAGCTGCTGAGGCAGAGGCTGTTGCTGATGCTGAGAATGCGAGTGGAGCATGGCCACCGACCTGGCCCTCTGCAGCTGCAGCCTCTCCGCGTAGGAAGCCGACTTGGGTATGCCCATGCTGTCGCAACGAGAGCTCGGGTAGCTCACCTTATTATTGGCGGCGGCGCCGTACAGGTTGACGTCCCGCACGTAGTACTGCAGCCTTTCCACGAGGTTGGCGACGAAGTCGCGGGCGTCCTCGAGGCGGTCGCGGTAGCCGTAGCGCGCGACGCAGCGGAAGAGCTTGTGCTCCTGCGGCTCCACCTGGCGGAAGAGGAAGCGCTCCGAGGGGTCGACGTGCGGGACGGGGAGGTGCTTGACGGAGACGAAGAGGAGGACGGTGTGGATGGAGGGGATCTTGTCGATGAGGTGAGGGAACACCGGGGGGATCCCCTGCACGAGGTCCGTGTAGAAGAGCCCCACACCGGGCACCCTCTGCAGCTCCCTCCGAGACACAAGCTCCCTCACCCTCTCCGTCGACACCGTCCTCTCCATCTCGTACTTGTACCTCCTGACGTGCACGTAGTGCCACACCCCCATCACCCCCATCAGCACCGCCGACATGGCCACCGGTATGTACCCGCCGTGCGCGAACTTGTAGAGCACCGACGTCAGGTACACCGACTCGGTGGAGGCGAAGACGCAGGCGAACACCAGCACCCACCCGATGTTCACCCGCCACACCAGCACCATCACCACCGTCAGCAGCAGCGTGGTGATGAGCATCACCAGCACCACGCAGATGCCGTGCGCCTCGCCGATCACCACCGTGTCCCGCGCCGCCACCGTCACCACACAGGCGGCCGCGCCCAGCAGGAGGTTGATCTCCGGGATGTACACCTGCCCCTGGTACTGCCTGGACGTGTGCACCACCTTCACGCGCGGGAAGCACCCCATGGCCTGCGAGTGGGAGATGGTGGCGAAGGCGCAGGAGATCATGGCCTGGCTGCCCACCACGGACGCCGCCAGCGCCAGCACCAGGGTTGGCCAGAACAGCACCTGCGGCGTCGACGCGTAGAAGGCGTCGCCGACGTGGTCCGGGTACACGCGCAGGTAGGCGGCCTGCCCGGCGTAGGCCAGCAGCACGGCCGGGACGAGGCCGAAGGCGAAGCTGAGCTGGATGGAGCGGATGCTGAAGCAGCCGAGGTCGGCGAAGAGTGCCTCGGTGCCGGTGAAGCAGAGGAGGACGCCGCCGAGGGAGACCCAGCCGTGGCGTCCGTTGCGGCGGAAGTAGTCGAGGATGTACTTTGGGTTGAAGGCGCGGAGGACGCCGACGTCGTGGGCGGCGAGGTTGTACACCCCGACGCCGCCGATGAGGAGGAGCCACAGCAAAACGACGGGGGCGAACAGGTACCCCACCTTGTCTGTCCCGAACCTCTGCACCGCGAACAGCATCACCAGGATGCCCACCGTCACCCACACCACCTGCTCTGCAATGCATTTCCATTCCATTCCATTCTCATCTTATTAGTTTAACTATTCAAATTCAAATGTTTTTATAAATATAATAATTCTTTCTTCACATGAATATCTACTTGTACCGACATACTAATTACTGAATACTTCTACTACGTACTATATATGACATGGATGGATTCATTTTGTAGCAATTATACGTTGACTGTGTTGAAGCAGTGAACGATGGTGACAGTACTGCATAGGTGTCGACCTTATGTCTGCATCAAATATATTTTTCACAGGTTTCACACCAAATTAAAGATGTACAGTACTGTGTGTACTGTAGGTGATAGATACTCCTAGATGCTTAGTTATGACCGTGTTTAGTTTCAAATTTTTTCTTTAAACTTTCAATTTTTTCATCACATTAAAACTTTCCTACATACACAAACTTCTAACTTTTTCGTCACATCGTTCCAATTTCAACCAAACTTCTAATTTTAACGTGAACTAAACACACTTATGGAATACTATTGCAAGCTCGCTTTGTAAGCTCTGTACCATTGACTGACACTTTTATCTCTATTTACACTACTCCCTCCGTTTGAGGTTATTTGACGTTTTGACTTTAGTCAAAATTAAACTGTTTTAAATTTGACTAAGTTTATAGATAAATATAGTAATATATATAATACTAAATTAGTTTCATCAAATCAATAATTGAATATATTTTCATAATAAATTTATCTTGGGTTGAAAATGTTACTACTTTTTTTCTACAAACTTGGTCAAACTTAAAACAGTTTGACTTTGATTAAAGTCAAAACATCTTATAAACTGAAACGGAGGGAGTACAATTCATTGGTACATCTCTAACCCCACTAAAATTATATTGAAAACCCACATACATGTACATAATATTTGTGAGCATTAGTATTTAAAATCGTGACCCTGAATTAAAATAGGAAGTTCTAAGTAGGATTACAATTATAAAATCGTAAACATAAAAATCGTGAAAATGATATATTTATACCTATATAAAATCATAAAAATCAAACACTTTAGTTAGGATCGTAAAGTCATAATATGATATGACATAATCGAGATCGGTTTTGACACTTTTGCTATATGTACGTGGTTATATATGCCCACCGGCCTTGCAAAGTACATGTATGTATGGTTTATCAATTCCTACTATTTCAACTAACCCGATAATTAGATTGTAGCTTTTGCTGCAAACTGACGAGATATGGGAATGCATGATTCATACTGCTGGTCCGGGCTTAGCTAATAGTAGTATTGATCCTGCACTCTTCCCTCTCGGGTCAAAAAGGAGTGATTAATTAAGCCGGAAAATGATGTTTTAGCTAGAATTAACGCATGCAGGACCAATATATACAAGGGGATATAAATCAGCGCAATTAATAGCAGCTAGCAGTCTGTATCTGTCTGTCTATCAATCATCTGAAGCTGCAGGTACCACGCACAATACTACGCGTTAACCCAGCCTTGTTGATTGATTATAAATAATTACCTGCATATATCTATCTCCATCATATCGATCGCTATGTCCATCGATCACACTATCTAGCGAGCTAATAGCTCCTCCCTTTTTTTTGTAATTACTAGTATTCTTCTATATTAACCAAGTTCATATTAGATTGAATATACAAATGTCAATAATATTCATGATATGGTTCAGATGGCATGGATATTCATATCCCTGGATCGAGATGAAGATGCAGGGATATATCAGAATCGGTCGTAGGCCATAGATAATATGAGTTTGAAGCTACTGCAGGAGCAGCATCGATGGCGAAAGCAACGCAACGACAAACAGAGGTTCCAAAGTCGTGGTTTTCTCTTAACTGCGGGAGAGCTACGTGTATACTATATGATCATCTATCTATATATATAAAGTTTTGTACGTCTATCAACTCCATAGACACACCAAACTAACAAATATCACTAAAAAAAATAGTTAGAAAAAAAATTGTATTAAAGTTATTACATCCACTTATAAAGTCCTACCTTCAAATTCATCCTACATAAAAAGAAAAAAAATATTCCGACAAATTTATATACAATGAATTTGAGGTTCAGATTTTATACGTATGTGTAATACTTATGCACAAAATTTTCTAGATTTTTCAGTGATATATTTGGTAATTAGTGTGGACGTAAAGCTTATGTGTACAAGATATATATATATTTTCCCCGCACATACATATAGCTAGTTACATGTTGCTTTATTTGCAATTAATTAACATCTTAATCATCTTAATTGATTTTGTTTGATCGATCGGTTTCGATCAGCGTCTTGCCAAGCAAGCCATCTGCAGGAGCAACAACCTAAACCTACAGGAGTACAGGTACATGTACAGTAGCTAGCTAGCAAAGCTGTATATATACGTATCATGGATATATGTATGATATATACATGCATGCAGATTAATCGTGGAAATTAAATAAAGCAAAAATATATTAATAGGTAATAGAAAAGGAGTAGAGCAAATACTAGACTAGTAGGAGTAGGAGTAGGTAGGTACCAGTGTTGAGGTGTGGCGCCTTGTCCTTGAGGCCACCGACGGCGGAGAGGACGGAGATGGCGGGCGTGAGGCAGGCGTCGCTGATGACCATGGCGGTGGCGAGGATGGTGAGGAGGAAGAGGGAGATGCGGACGGGGCGGCTGTTCTCGAGGAGGTCCTTGACCCACTGGGCGCGCTCCTCGGCGGTGGAGGCGAGGCGCTGGACGGAGGGGCGGCGGAGCGAGGAGGACTTGCTGATGTGGAGGTGGAGCTCGTCCTCGGCCTGCTGGTTGGGGACGAGGCTGACCTTGGCGTGGCGGGAGATGAGGGAGTAGAGGGCGAAAGTGCCGCCGTCTCCGTCGTCGTTGGCGCGGAGGGCGATGTAGACGTACTTGATGATGGTGAAGAGGAGGAAGCTGTAGATGATGAGGGAGAGGACGCCGAGGAGGTCGTCGGTGTGGCGGATGCCGCCGTCGAAGGTGGTGGAGTAGACGTAGAGTGGGGAGGTGCCGATGTCGCCGTAGAGGACGCCGAAGCACTGGAAGGCCAGACGCAGCGTGCGCGCCCACCCCTCGCCATGCGCCTGCTCATGCTGCCCGGCGCGGCTCGCGTCCCTGTACAGCGAGTCCTGCCGCTGCACCGCCAGGCTCAGCTCACCCTCGCCGGAGTAGTAGTAGCTCGGGTTCCGGCTCATCATCGCCACTGTAGTAGTACCCGCCCCCTGCCCCTGCTGCTGCGCCATCGACAGAAAGGATCACTGCAACGAAATCACTAGTTGTATTGTATTGATGGAAGCAGCTGCAGGGAAGGAGTACGCTTCGCCCCTTCCCCTGCTCTGCATATGCTCTGCTCTCTACCTATATATATGGAGTTTGCATATGCTCTGCTCTTTATAAGGGCAAACTCCTCTGCTCTGCTCCACGTGTCAAACACACATATACAAGAAATATTCAGTCCCACCTGCAAATTGACCATCATATTATATATGTTACTGTATAATTTACTAGAAAAAAAAATATCCATGCGTTATAATGGGTGAAGTCTATTTTAATCTCATTATTGTTATATGATTTAGTTAAGATAAAATTCACTATTGGAGCGAAGTTCGCATGGATATATATATATTTTAGAAAATCATGAGCTACGGTTAGCAGTCCAATCGTCTCAAGTTAGCATGCGAGGTTTTTTATACATATTTCTTATATGATTCCTTCTGTATTACCAAAAGTGAATGATCTTAAAAACCAACTGAATTACGGATATGTATTTTCAAAAACAAACGAACTTAAAAACCGACTCATACACGGATGACGTACCAAAATACTATAATAATAGAGATAGAGAAGAGATATAGATTAAAATCAAAACATAAAATTAAAACCGACTTAAACACGGATGGCGGACTGCGGAAACATCTTCAATTTTTATAATCCACTTAAACACGGATAATGAACCGCGGAAATATCTTCAATTTTTATAACCGACTTAAACACGGGTGACGAACCACGGAAACATTTTTAATTTTTATAATAGTAGAGATAGAGATAGAGATAGAGATTTTGTCCTTTTTTTTCCCTCTTCTTAACAAATATAAATACCTCATGTTCGATAATAAGAAACAAAAATATGAATGCTTCCTTTTTTTTCTGTCTACCTAGTATATGCACTAGTACGATCAAGATCGTCCACGTAAGTACGTTGTTGATCATCTGGTACGATCGAGCGCCTCATCAGGCAGGTCATACATGCAATTAGGCAATATATACATCTAATTATGATGGAAGCTGCCTATCTATCTATCTATATTTATTTTGGATGGTCTTCCATGCTAAGGACATACTACCATCTAATCTAGTCCAAGCTAGTACTTGTAAAGAGTTCGTTAAGATGATATATATCCATGGAGTTGAAAAAACTCAATGCAAGCAGGCCGCTCAAGGCACGTACACACCCAAAGCTTACCTACAGCTAGCGATGCCTGCATCCCTCACAGCCACATATCGATCAATTTCCCATCAACAAAAAAAAACCCACATATATATAAATTTGTTACAAAAATAATCAGGCAGCTACTAACACGGGACTAGCGCGATTTAATTTGCACTGATCTAAATTTTGATAGTTAGCTACACTTTGACTAAACCAATTAGCAACAAGACCACCAGTAGTCGTCTTGAAGAGAAAGAATGGAAGGAAGAAAAAGGAAAATGAATCGAGAAAATGAAGTTACTTTTATAATAATTGGTTATAGCTCTGATGAGCAAAGATAGGGATGTTTTATTCCATTATCTAAAAAACTAGAGAGCAACGAAAATGATGGATGGATGGCCTAGCTAGTATGAATGGAGCCGGAATGCATGGCCAATATTGTGTCCCTTCAATCGATTCGTTCACATATATATACACTGATCTAAGCTAGCGTTCACACACTATTATACATGATGATCATATATACAGTCAGATCGAGTAAATCATATATATATATATATATATATATATATATATATATATATATATATATATATATATATATATATACTCCCTCCTTTGACACCGTTGACTTTTTTAAACATGTTTGACCATTCGTCTTATTCAAAAAAATTTTATAAAATATGTAAAACTATATATATACATAAAAGTATATTTAACAATAAATCAAATGATAGAAAAAAAATTAATAGTTACTTAAATTTTTCAAATAAGACGAACGGTCAAATATTTTTAAAAAAGTCAACGGTGTCAAACATTTTAGGATGAAGGGAGTATATACTTATGTCGCACGCGCGCCCAGGCAGGCCTTTAATTGTTTGTTGCACGTACGATGGAGCTAAGCATGTGGTCGATATTGTTTTAGCTGATGTCCGTCAGATAGATGTCCTTCAATTAATTGCTTAGATTTCTCTTAGATGGCCTTCAAGTAATTTATGCTCAAATCGTCAGGTTCTTGATGCATGCATGCATGCCTGCCTGCCTGCGGCCCTCGTTTAGAATGAGTTAAATGCCACGCACATTCCACAAACAATTAAGATGTACCAATATTTTGCAAATTTCTGATCTCATCGACTGCTTTGATTTTGTGCCAGGCCTTCCTCCAGCTCCAGCATCCTCTGATGCGAACGGTAGTAGCCCGATCGACAAGTTAGGTTCAGGGTGGCGTCGTCGGAATAAGGGGGAGGGGGAGGAAGAGATGAATTAGAGAGATGGTCGTGGAAAGTGGTAGGCATCAGTCTGAGCGAGGAGAGGAAGAGAGGAGATCAGATGAGGTGGCACACAAATCTGAAAGCTAGCTAACAATACAAAATCTGCAAAATTTTTAGAGACTACGTTTTCTATCAAGTAATATGTAATAAACAGTTTTAAAAATACTTTTATACGAGCATTAGCGAATCCAAGACAAAATCATTACTAATTGTTATTGCGGAGACGAACGCATGGACTCCAAACATTTTTTTAACTACACGGCAGACGCAGACATACACGCGCACACACCACTCCATACGTAACACCACATTCACACCCTTATGAATGCGTTTCCTAACACATGCTACGTAAACCAGCGACGCATCTATGATCTCTCTAAAATCATGTTGAAAGTTCATCTGCATATGCATAATATTCGTAGGCATCAAGATTTAAACCGTAGTGGATGGAGTCATGGACACACGATTATACCACCACTACTCCACTAGTACGTGCTTCCCCGGCCTGGACTCGACACATTTCAATCCAACTTAAGAAAAAAAACACATTGCAATGATGAAAACAAGAAAATATATATGCTGCTCACTACATTCGAAAATATAATCGATATGAAAAGAAAATCATGGGTTGTCGATTAACGGGATTATCGGAATTTTATCGGTGATAAGAAAAAAAATCAGACAAAATTTGTTAAAATTTCGCTCAATTTGTGCAGGAAATCCTAGCTAGTATTTTGTATAGACCATTTGGTATAAAAAATAACATATGTAGGGTCTGTTCATTTTGATGCCAAAAAAAACCTTACCAAATTTTGGCATTGCCAAAATTTTGGCAACTATGTTAAAATTTTGACAACTTGTTAAAATTTTGGTAGGATTTCTTATATCAAAATTTGGCAGCGAACTAAATGTAGCCACTTTTTTGTCAACTTTACCAAAATTTGGTAAGGTTGAAAATGGCATCAAAGTAAACAGGCACATAATATGCAAATGATCAGGATAAGTGCAAAAAAAAAATGATGTAGCCAGTCAAAGAACACAGTGTCACGCATGCAAATTCAAAAAAGGCCGAATTTTTGGCTGATACTTCCTCCGTCCCAAAATAAGTGCAGCCATGGTTTTCCACGCCCAACTTTGACCGTTCGTTTTATTTGAAAATTTTTTGAAAAAAATTAAAAACATAAGTTACAAGTAAAGTACTATTCATGTTTTATCATCTCATAACAACAAAAATGCTAATTATAAAAAAATTTCAAATAAGACGAACGATCAAAGTTAGGCGCGGAAACTCATGGCTACACTTATTATGGGACGGAGGTAGTACTGTTTTTGATGGGTACCCACCAAGAAACACGAATTTCGGAAATTTCGAAACATGTGTTGGGCTGTAAGAGCACCCGCAATGGTAAAGTAAGGTGCTCTCTATAAAATATTTATATCTCAGCAATAGACTAGATTAATAGTAAACCACCTTAATAGTATGTCTACATGGGTATCTATAGCTCTCTCATGCATTGCCTGTTTTTCTCTATAGATTATCTCCAGGTTAGTAGATAGCTTTGCTCTCTCTCTCTTCATTTAATCTCTTCCAAGTAGGACAATATACTGACATGGATCTCTTATAGAGAGACTATAGATAACTATTGCGGGTGCCCTAAGGTGAACCCATTAATAACAACCTAGTACAGAAATCAAACTTGGTTTTGCTGTAGAATTAGTTAGACCGGTTTTCGTGCAGTAGGAGGCCGGGACGGAGGAATTAATATTGGGCCGGCTAGCAAGCACACTTTGCATTGGGCCCATAAACAGAAGGCCCAAGGCAAGGCAAGAGAGAGAGAGATGGAGAAGTGGAGGCGAGTGGTGGGTGGGGTCGCCGGCACGCCGGATTCCGGCGTCCCTGGTCTCCCCTTCCTCCACCGCGCCCTCCTCCTCCCCCTCCTCTTCGCCGCCTCCAAAGCCCTCCGCCTCCTCTCCCACCTCCAGCGCCGCACCTCCACCTCCACCTCCCTCCCCGTCCCCGTCGTCAGCGTCGGCAACCTCACCTGGGGAGGGAATGGCAAGACCCCCATGGTCGACTTCCTCGCCCGCGCCTTCCACCGCATCGGCGTCTCGCCCCTCATCCTAACCAGGGTAGGCTAGGGTTGGGTAGGCTACCCTATTCCTTTCTTTCTTTCTTAGTAGGTCTTTCTTTCTTTCCAGGGCTACGCAGGCGGCGATGAATCCAGGATGCTCCGCCGCCGCCTCTCCGATACCTCCGCCAAGATTGGTGTCGGTCCCAATAGAGCGGCTGTCGCTACCTCCATGCTCCGCAAATATGGTGCTCAAATTGGAGTCGCCATACTAGACGATGGGATGCAGCACCTCAGCTTGCTTCGAGATGTTGACATTGTCATGATCAACGCCCTCAATCCTTGGGGGAACAAACATCTCATTCCACGAGGACCCATGAGGGAACCACTCACTGCACTCACCAGAGCTCATATTCTCCTCATTCATCATGCTAACCTGGTAACTACTCCATCCATACCAAACAATTTCATTTCAGCACTTTCTATGATCAAAGCCCATGAATAGACAGATCCTCCATCCAGTGCCAACAACCATATTTACTAGTACTTGAAGCAAACAAATCCATTTCTTAATTTCATATCTCAAACAACCTTTACTACTATACTCCACAGGTTTCTCAACCACAACTTAAAACAATTCTTTCCACGGTCCACGACAATGGCGCAACATGTCCAGTCTTCTTTAGTAAATTGGTACCATCGCATATTTTTCAAGTCAACCAACCCATGCACAGGCTTCCTCTTCATGTGCTGCACGGTATAATCGTGCTATGCGTTTCTGCTATTGGCTGCCCAGATGCTTTCATTCATTCTGTTCAAGAGGTATTCCCACCTTTCTTGTTTTTATCACTTTGTCTACAAACTTTTGTCCTTGTCCTACCTATCCTCAAATATGGAACGATGGTTGTTGTGAGGTTGTAATCCTTTTCATTATAAGGTAACCTATGCATTATTGCAATTTAATGCTACCAGGCTAACTGTTAATCAACCCCCACCTCCTCTGAAGAAATGAGTGATACAATGACAGATAAATCTGCAATAGAAAGAAGATAAAAAAAAAGATGTAATCCAAGTAACAAAATATGGTGTAGTTTCTCTGCTCCCAACTGGAGTATAAGAAATACCTTTTTTTGCAAAGCTGCAAAAGGTGGCTGTCTTCCTTTAATGTTTACTATTAGAGCTCTCAGCTAAAACAAACAAGACAGTCAAATCACCACATGATTGGTACATTCTTTCTGGCTCATTTGCAATGCTTGCTTTTGGGTGTAGGCTTTTACTACATCCTGTCCAAAGTTGGTAATTCCATGGTTCAAAAATGATTGTGAATGGAGATATCTACCAAATATTGGATCTATGTGTTGCTCTGCTCAATTTTGGTTAATTCATGCCATGCTAGATTTAAACACAAATCTGAATTGAGTAGTCAGCTAATCCTTGTCATCAGGAAATTTTAGAATGTTATTCATTCATTGGCTGTAGATTGGCCCTCTCAAGATTGAAAGGTTGGATTTCAGCGATCACCATTCCTTCAGTTCTCATGTAAGTAACACCATATTGACATTGGCAGAGTGACCATTCCTTCAACAATTGAAGATGCACGCACTTTCAAAATGTGATTAGATTGAAAAGCTCAATGATACATAGTTTGAGCATGCGCATGCAAACCTTTCTTTCCAATGTATCTGTAATATTAACTGTTTCCTAAAATAAAGAGAACATATCTAATTGTTAGCTCAGTGGTACTAGTCTAGATGTTGCAACGCAGCATTTTTGTCAATCTATAGTTTCTTAGTGCTACCACTCTGTTGATTCTTACATGGTGATTGTTTTTCTCTCGTTGTTGCATACAATAGGACCTGCAGCTTATCCAAGACACGTTGAAGAAGCTTGTGTATCAGCACAAAAATAATGCTGTTGTCTTGGTTACAGAGAAGGTATTTGCCTTCTTAATAGAGCACTGTTTCCTGCTACAACTTTTTTTCATCGTCCATTTTGGACTTTTTAATTTCGTTCCTTTCTCTCTGTGTGTGGCAGGATTATGACCGTGATCCAGATGTCCTTAGGGCACTGGATGCAAAGGTTTGGGTGTTGTCGTCTTGTCTGCAAATTATACCCCATGAGGGACAAGGAGATGATGAATTTATGAGGAAAGTGAGGGAGATTATTACAGCGAGTAGGCACGTGAAATTATAGGAGGGGGCCTAGCCAAGAGTTGCTGAACATTTAGTTAGAACCAGCTGTAAAAGAATTTTGAGGCAAAACTATTTTGCCAGTAGGATCTGGTACTGCTGCATCTTGTTCAGGATTGGTCGATCAATTCAATTCCTGTTGCAGAATATGCATTATTGATCTAGTTGTATTTCCGTTGGATCAATGAATTAAAACCCCAATTTTAGCTGGGCTTGATCGAACAGAAAGTGAAGTGCTGCCCTGAAACACCAGCTTAGCTGCTTCAGTATTCGGTCCTGTTGGCCTCCTCTTGCTCTGCTTCCTATTTTGAAGGTGAGGTCAAAGTGGCGGGTTGGTTTTATATGAAAGAAAGCTCATAGGACAGCAATGGAGAAGGTTTCTGCTGTCCATGAAATTCTCGTCAGCTGGCCCAACCATGCTTGCCGTTGCTGGTTTAGTCTTTATATTGGACAATGTTATTAGTTGGTACTATATAACCATCAATATTCAGCACCTACCTATATACTACGGAGTATGTCCAAATATTTTGCTCGCCATATGCTTCTGGGCTTCTGGCCATGGCTTGAGTTTGACAATACTCTGACGGTTTGGCGAATGAATGAAAGGCCCTTGTCTCAATTGGTTCAGTTTATTAAATTGTTAACTTTGGATGTGGAGATCGACTGGTATTGGCAACAGAGTCAGCTGGTGGTCGTTGGATTGAGCCTCCTCAATCGATATAAACAAAGTCAGATATTGAAATATCTGACTGACAAAATCCACACTTAAAAAACTGGAGCACATTCATCTGGCAGAGGCAGCCAGCGCGCGCGCGCATAATATATGTGCTGCAGAATGACATGCATGTTCAGCTGCTCGCCCCCGCGTCGCCTCCAACGTGGGCGACTCAGGTGGTGGAAACCTAGCGGCCACCGCTGGCCCCCTCCACCTCTCACCTCCGCCTAAGCGAGTGGCCGGCAAAGCCGGCGGCTCACGAGGGCGGTGGCCACCTCCAAATCTGGCGCGGGCGGAGAAACGCCGCTGTCGAGGCCAGCACACAGGAGGAGGCGGAGGCGGGGAAGGAAGAGACCGGCGAGCACGTGCTAGGTCCGCGTCGGCGCCAGGAGGTGGAGCCACGAGAGGAGGGGGCGGCACCGACGGTTGCTGCTGCGGCGGCGGCAACGGGGCGGCAGCGGTGATTGCGGGGCGGTCACGACAGGCGCCGCCAGATCTGGCCGGCATAGGAGGACGTCACGGGCGGGCCTAGCACAGTGTGGAGTGGCCGGCGTGGAGACGCGGCCGATGACGCGGAGGCCGGCATAGCGCGCAGTGGCCGGCGTGGAGGTGCGGCTGGCAGCATGGAGACGCAACCGACGATGTTGAGCGGTTCCGTCGTAGGACAGCAGTGCAGCCGCACTGGCTCTGGCAGCGGAGAGGCCGTTGGTGGGCGGCGAGGTGGTGGCGGAGCGGAGGCATCGGCGCTGACCCTCGTGGTCACCGGTGGGCTTGACGGCAGGGTCGTCTTCCTTGTGGTTGGCCTGGCAGACACCTTGTTAAGAGAGCTCCTCCCCTTCTTTGTAGAGAGCTTTTAGGCAGGGATGGAGGCAGTGGCTGGTCTACAGGGAAGACTTAGGTTGCCAAGGTGATGATGTTCCTTGTCCGAGCTCCCAAAGGTCGGATTCGACGAGGAGACCGACGGTCGGTGTGGTGGAGGCGACCTGGGTCAGCACATTGCGGAGCGGTGGTGGGGTAGAGGGTGCTGGCGGTGAGGTCGTCTTACTTTTGGTTGGCCAGGCTACTGCCCTGTTAGGGGAGCTCCTCCCCTTATTTGTGGGGAGCTTTTAGGCAGGGTGGAGGCGGTGGTCGGTCTATAAGGAAGAATCAGGTTATCGAGACAATGTTGTTCCTTGTCCGAGCTCCCATAGATTGGATTCAACGAGAAGGTCGGCGAGCGGTGTGGTGGAGGCGGCCTGGGTCAGCGCGCTGGTGACGGGGTGATGTGGTAGTCTTGTTGATGGCAGGATTGGAAGCCGGCCAGTGGAGGGGCGTCGGTCGGGTGTGGCGGAGGCCATGTGCTGCCGATGTTTGGATGGTGGTTTCAAATTGGGCGACGAACAACGGTGGTAGGGTTGCAGAGGGTTCCAAGCGAAAGCTTAGCCTAATGTTTCATTGGGCCAACAGTGACTACGCTTTTGGATATGGTAACCCTACTGAGGGCGCTGTTGAGGTACCCCTCCTCCCACAGCAAGAAGCTCTGGGTGAAAACCTTGTCTAGTTCTTTGGATGGACGACAAGGCTTCTTTCGACGTCGCAACTTTCATGAGGACATCGTTTTTAGAGTCTAAGCTCTGTGGTGGTGTTGTAGACCCGGTGGCAACCGGTCTCGCATAGAGACGGCCGGTTTGGTGCTCGGCTGCTCTCTCTGTAGCGTGTGTTTGGATATTTGGAATATGGTTCGGGGCGTGTGCTTTGGTGCACATCCTGCTGTCGATGAAAAACTTTCTTGTAACCTTTTCTTCCTATCTTAATAACATTTAGATGATTTTTTTTGGTCATCCCGGCAAAATATATGCTGCAGAATGCATGCAGATGCAGAGGAGACTAACGTTACTGCTGTCGGATACTTTCTTTGTTTGATCCAGGCATATGGAGTATATATGTAAGGCTCTCCTTTTCCTTTAATACTCGGACTAATTAAGTAGGAGCTAATTAATAATCGACGTAATTAATAGCTAATTAATAATCGACGTAATTAATGCATATGGAGTATCTCTGTGTGCGCGTGTGTTTTCTTAAAAAAAAAGAAGTGTTGAAGTACTGTGCCTAATGTTGGTGGGATCCACAAAGATATAGAAACATCTGTACTAGCTAGTACACAAGTTCTGTATACATGCATGTGTATGATATCAGATGCTGAGTACATAATTCCTTCTCTCATTGATGAAGCATAAACTGCAATGTACACATTGTCATCGTAGCTAGGGAGTACTATGCATATACATAATTAATGATATAAATTAATACATTTGTACGTATATATATGGTCCAGACTTGAGAGAAGAGGCATGCGAGCAGTTGATCGATCGATCATGCCAGCATATGCATACATATATGGGTCATGAGAGAGAGAGAGAGAGAGAGAGAGAGAGAGAGAGATTCTTTCATGCAGAGCTATGTCGACGGACGATGCAGCAGATGACAGTACAGTGTTTGAATTATTCCATGGCAGTATCGATGGATCGTATGCATACGCATGTGCCTCTTCTGAGTACTGGAATGTGTCAGCATACTGCATATATTGTGTGTGGGTGCCAATATAATGCAACTACTCTATATGCTTTCCTCGCTAGCTAGCTTAATTGCTTGTGATCTCTGTCTCTACATATGCTTGCTAGCTCTAAAACTAATTCCCCTCTCTCTCTCTCTCTCTCTCTCTCTCTCTCTCTCTCTCTCATACTAGTATAATTCTCTTCATGATCAGGCCATGACTGCACACTCTTACTAGCTAGCTAGCTTCTGAAACCATATATTAGCAAAGAAGCTAGCTATAGCTGTTTCTGACTACTTTCATGGTGAAGAGGCTGAAAGTGTACTTAGGTTTTTTTTATTATAAGTTGTTTGAATTTTGTCTTAGTCAAAATTTAGTTTGATCAAATTTATAAAAAAAATTAGCAACATTTACACCAAATTAGTTTCATTAAATTTAACATTGAATATATTTTGATAATATATTTGTTTTTATTAAAATTTTTACTATATTTTTTTACAAACTTAATCAAACTTAAAGAAATTTGATTAAGAAAAAAAAATTAAACGACTTATAATATGAAAAGGAGGGAGTACTACACAGACATATATAGTTTTGGGTTATAAGAATTCTGGCAATTTTCGCGTGCATTATCATACAGATGATATATAAATAATCATGATGTAACCACCTTTCTATCAATCTAATCTTGATATGATATAATAAAGCAACTAAGCAAGAGATCTTTATTTTTTTTTCTTTCAATATATATGCTTGACTGCCCCTACATATATATGAGGGGAGTGTACGAGACAAGAACAGACGAGCACCTTGGCTTCTCTACTGTCTGCTTGTGGCCTGATCGATGACCTAAAAGAAGAAGCAACCTTTGCTTGCTTGGCCACCCCATGGATGGTTGGTGGGAGAGGAGAAAACACCCAACTTAATTAATTGTATATGCTGTGGAAACGTAACCATATATATATATATACCAGCTGCAGCTTAACTAAGAATAATAACTCCTCTAATCAGTTTTTGGTTTAGATCTTGAAAAAAAATTGTAGTTGTAGAAATAATCCTGAAAATGAAAAAAAAGTTAGAAACTGGTTTTCCTAACTTCTCTAGATACTTACCAACTACTTCTCAAAATCTAAAGTTATTCCAAACACGCCCAAAGTTTGATATATAGATCGCAAATTAACTCAGGTCTCTCTCACGGGACAAACATGCCCATAGTTTGATAGATCGCAAATTAACTTAGGTCTCACATGATAAACACGCATCAAACATACATAGACGAAACATAACTATGTATGCATGTATATGTTTATTGAATTGTTACTTCCCTTTAGATTCAACAACCAACTATATATATAGACTCCTCAGCTACAAATACCATAGATTTTGTTGTTAATTTCATGCTGTGTTTCTTAGAATAAATCTAGAAACCACATTAGTTTACAAAGACAAAAAAAGGCTTATATTTACTTATTAATCACTATTTGCATCGGTCGATAATTCCTATATATATGGCACGACGACTTACAATGATTCAATAATAATAATTAGCAGCGCACATGACCAGAATATAGTGATTATCATCAACATTTAATGTAATTCACAAACAAGTACTGAATCGTATATCAGTTTGGTCTAAACATGTAAGCATGAGATAATTCAAAATGACAAATTAACATGGATTCTAGTTATTTTGATCATGATGAGATCAAAACTAATTAAACTACATATTGGAAATTTTACGAGAGGAAGCAAATAGTTGTGATTTGATAAATTAACATATACACAATGTTAGCTTGCCGTACAAATTGCAATATATGTCGTGAAATATGGCTTAAAATGTTGAGCTGCAATTAGTACAGATCATATATATCGATGTGCAGACATGAAGAACATATATAAAAATGTGTAATTGAAGGGAATATATATATAAAAGGCCTTTGGCCAAATTAGGACACATATATCAAGTCACTTCCGATTGAATCATGCAAGAACAATCAGAACAAAGCTAGCTAGGAAAATAATTAAGAAGCAGCTAGCTAGCTGAGACAAATTAACACAGGGCGGGAAGAGATGGAGGAGAAATTGAAGACGACAAGATCGATCGAGCACATGTACACACTCAAACATGGTGATCAGATCGAATTATAATGGCACAAAACAAGAAGAAAAAAAAATCGATATATGCAAACTAGTAACTTCAATTTAGACCGGAGTACGTAGGTACTAGCTAGGTAGACCCAAGCCTAAGCTCCAGATCTATTTCTTGCCGGCCTACCATGTCCATGGCCAGCTGATTAACAAGTATACTGGAGCTTGGGATTACCTTATTATTACTTGCATCAGCCGCTGCAGGATCATCTTCTCGCCGGCGTTCTCTCTCAGATGAGTATGAGGGCGTCGGAGTCAACGGCTGATCGACACGCCTTCGCTTCCTCCTGATCTCCTCCATGGAGATGGAGATGGAGTCGTCGTCGTCCTTGCCTCCTCCTAGTCCTAGATCATGAGTTGTCGCAGGAGCAGGAGCAGGCATGGTGGTGATGAACAATCTTGCCTTGTTCCTGCTCTCCTTGATGATGGTTGCTATGCAGGAATTAGGAGACGAATTAGTGCCCTGCAGCTGCAGCTGCTGATGATTCTGATGATGATCAGCGGTTGTGGATTTAGGGCTGGAGATTTGTAGAAGCAAGCTAGGAGGACTAGGAGAGTCTGGTGCTGCTGCTGCTGCAGGTAAAAGAGGAGGAGGAGGAGGAGGAGGAGGAGGAGGCGCGCAGATGCTGACGGTTGGTGGAATCGGGTCGTCGTCGTCGTCGTCGCACTGCCGGAGGCGAGCGCGGTCGCGGCGGTGCACGTTCATGTGCCCGCCGAGCGCCTGCGCCGACCGGAACTCTCGCCGGCAGAAGCTGCACGTGTAGGAGCGCGGTGGCCACACGCAGCCGCCGAGGTGCCCCGCTGCGTCCTGCGCGAACGCCTTCTCCTCCCACGACGGCTCGGCCCCTCCGCCATGAGCCGCCGCCGGCCAGCCGGATCTAACGCCGGCGCCCCAGAGAGCCCAGTAGTGCTTGGCCATGCGCTCCATGGCGGCGGCGTCCATGGCCTCGATCCCCTCCCTCCTCTTCCTATAGCTAAGCTAGCTAGTGGATCGATCGATCGATCGGAGTATGTATGTAGGGTCTACCAAGCCAAGACTAGTAGCTGTAGTTGTAGTAGTATAGCTGCTGCAAGAGAGAGAGAATGCTAATAGTGCATGATGCCAAGTTGGAGAAGGCTGTGTTTTTGTTGTCTTGCGTTTATGTGCTAGCTAAAACACTACTATACGTATACGTATACGTATAGTATGTATGTACCTACGTATATATGCTTCTCTTCTCATCTTCTCCTCTCATCATCATTTCAGATACATCCATCCACCATGCATATGATGCCATAATGGCTTATGCATATCGCTGTACAAGTAGTACCGCTACACTTTAGCACATACATTTCTATGCTAGGGCTAAAATCCAGGTATCCGCCGTACAACCTTATAGAAAAAAAAATACTTCTCATAGCCAGAAATGCCATCCTTCCTGCCTTATTACTGTCCCTCTATTCTCAGAATATAACAACCTAGTACTGAATCAGACACAACTTTTGTACTACAAATCTACTCCTTCCGTCCCAAAAAAAGACAAACTCTGGTTTCCGTGCCCTGTCTTATTTGAAAAAATTATGAAAAAAATTAAAAAGACAAGTCACGCATAAAATATTAATCATGTTTTATCATCTAACAACAATGAAAATACGAATTATAAAAAAATTCATATAAGACGGACAGTTAAAGGTGGACACGGAAACCCAGGGTTTGCCTTTTTTTTGAGACGGAGGGAGTAGACATGTTCTCTGTCCAGATTCGCATAGTACTATGTTGTATCTAATTAAATATTAGGTTGTTATACTTAGCATGTAGAGAGTACTTATTATGCCACTGATAAATAATTGTACTCCATCCTAAAATGTATAGCAACCTAAATACATGATTATGCATATGCTAGTACTACGAATATGGACAAATCTATTATATATGTCACTACTATATTTTGGAACGGAGGAGTATGATTTATTTACAACAATATACAACACAGCTAGGTAGTACCATTATTCCATGACATTTTTTTAAAAGCAAACCTGGTTTCAAGCCTCCTTTGATTTGTAGGAAAAATATACAAAATTTAGAGGATTTCAATCTATGGAAAAAAAATCCTATAAAAGGCCTTTGAAATAAATGATTGAATCCTATATTCTCCTTTAAAATTTTAATAGAATGGACAACCTTATAAGAGATGTTAGAGAAAAGTTAGCAAGAGCTTCAACCTCTAGTAATTTCTCTTTGAGTCGATTTCATACGTTTTTCCTGTAGCCCAATCAAATGATCATTGTTGTGTTTTTTCTGTGTTATTTTCTTTATCTTGCACTCACATTCCCGTTAAAATTTTGTATTTTTTTATTAGTCTGTTTTTTCAGTCATGCATTTGAAATGAGCCCTCAAAGTATCTTCTTGGTGTATATATATAGATTAATTAAATATTGGCAATTTCACATGACCTAATCACAATCTTTTTCATATATACCTAGCTGTGTGCCCAAACTTGATGAAGTTCGATGGGACGACAAAAATTCTCAAGCGAATATTTATTTAACAATACAGAGGGAGTATTTGTTAGTATTAATTAATCGGGAGTATTTGAATTGAGGTGTGCTAGCTAGCTGGCTGCTGGTAAGCGGTAAGTCATGTGTGTCTCTTGCTTTGGCGCATGCACCGTACGACGATGCATTTGTTTTCTGCACTGCGTGCTTGTGCGAGTGCAGTCAACTGTTCTTCAACCGACGATCTCTTTCTTTTCTTTTCTACTACTACCTCATTCCCTAAATATTTGACACCGTCAATTATTTTAAACATGTTTGACCGTTTATCTTATTCAAAAACTTTTATGAAATATGTAAAACTACATGTATACATAAAAGTATATTTAGCAATAAATCAAATGATAGAAAAAGAATTAATAATTACTTAAATTTTTTAAATAAGACGAACGGTGAAACATATTTAAAAAAGTCAACGGCGTCAAATATTTTGGGATGGAGGGAGTATTACATACTACTGTACTACGAATGTGTGTATGCTTGTGATGTTGATCAGATGGTCACAGGGAGGAAGCAAACATTTGAGTCCTCTGCAACTTGTCTCGGACAAACATATATATACACAAGGGAACAAGAATAAAATGGGTGGCAGTTTTGTATCATCCGGACATGTTCTGGGAAGAAGGAATATTTGGCGATTTACATTTTAATTTTTTTCCTGCAGCTGGGCGAGGGAGGCCCTACATATATATATTTGATCGATCCCACCATGTTACAAGTCTATATATGTGCATATCTAACTTACAAAAAGGCTATATATTTGGTCCATAATACATTAGCTAGTAATTAAATAATTGTATTGCTACATATAGTTAGTCCATATATATATATATATATATATATATATATATATATATATATATATATTATTAATACATTAGCAGATTAGCTAGCTAGTAGCCTAGCTAGTACGTATATACCCCAATACATACATATAAGTTTGTCCAAGTTAATTCCATCCATATACACACCTGACTGCACTTTATTTCATAAATTAGAGTTTACTTGTCAATCTAGTGGAATGCTTAATTAGCTTGTCTAATTAATTAAGCAAACAATCCGAGCTGTGCTAGCTATCATAATGTGAACACATGACTGATGAAGAGTAGACATGATCGTCCATTTATTTGGAGCCTTTCTCAATTTGCCCAATTGTGCAAGACTTGATTGTTCCTCTTCAAAATAATAACATTTTTTGAGATGCACTTGATAGTGTAGTGGTAAGAGTCAGGTGTGTGGTTTCAACCCAACACACTCACAATAAAATGGAAGAGGTGGGCGGCGATGAAAGAGCTCGATCAAGATGCTGCATAGCTCCTACCGCTCTATACCCGTCAGGCTCCATTCGTTATCGTGATGCCTATTACACCATTGATAAGCTCCCTATCCCCACCCCACCCTTCACTCGGTTTAGGCGAGATTCACCTCCACAACACCTATGCCACAAGGCGCGTATGCTACCATTGTCGGGCCCATGACTCCTCCACTTTTGGTGCTAGCACACCCGTCATGTCCACCTTTGCCACCATGCTTATTACAACTATGCACCCCCCCACCCCATGCAGGGGCATAAATAGGTATGGAGCAGCTAGGGCTTGAGTTCCATGCCTGGTTCCATAATCTCCATTGTAATATGAAAAAATGCTATTTAATTTGAGAAAAATATTTGGACTCCTGTTAGTTCAGCCATACGCGTGAAGATTTTCTGACTCCACCACTGACCCATGCCTCCTCTGTAAAGAGCCCTAAGCTTTGCAACACACTAGTACATAAACAATTTATCCAGACAACCAAAACCGATTTTCACATCTAGGCCATCGATCCGTCTACACCCAAGTATCTGCGACAATCTCCATTTTTCTATGCGGGTGGTGCACGAAAAATAAAAATCCGTAAAAAAAATAAAAATCTCAAAAATTCAAAAATAGAAACCCTAGCTCCTTGATTCATCCCCAAACCCTAGCCTGCTGCCGGTTGATGTTGTCGTCGCCGCCACCGTCGCTGCCAGAGTGCTTGCCGTAGTCCGCCGCTAGATCCGCGCAGGGGAGGGTGGAGAAGGCCGCTGGAGCCCTCCACCATAGTCGCCTGAGCCCTCACCCGGGCCGCTACCGCCGCCGACACTACTATACATAATAGATTTTCCTGGACGCTACCCCTTTTGTTTCCATGCGGTTCGTAAGTGGAACCGCACGGGAAAATAGGGGGACCAGCGCTGGGTTGTCGCCCGCACAGAAAAATTGATTTTCCTGTGCGGTCCTCCTAAACGGACCGCACGAGAAAATAAGCCGATTTTTCCGTGCGGATCTATTAAGAGAGCCGCACATGAAAATAATATTCCCTCTTTTCCCTCTCACCCACTTCAACATTTCCTCTCATATCTCTTTTTCTTTCTCTCCTCACCCCCTCCCCTCTTATCTCTCTTCTCTCTCCCGTGCATAACCTCTCTCTCTCATGCCTCTCGTCTCCTCTCTCCTTTCGGCGGGCGATGGCGACGGCGGCGCGCGGTGACGGCGGCGCGTGGCGACAGCGGCGGCTCGACGACAGCGGTGGCGCGATGACGGTCGGCATCGGCACGCTGCGGCCTCAGCTCCACACGGCGGCGGTGGAGGCGCGAGATCCAGCGGGCGGCAACCGTCCCCGCACGGATCCGGCGGCCGTGGCCGCCCTTTCCCCGTGCGGGATCCGCTCCCCTTCCTTTCCTCCCCAGATCCGGTGGAGGGGAGGGGCGTCGACGGTGGTGCGGCCAGAGGGGAGGACGGATCCGGCGGGCGGCGTGGAGGCCGCCGCCGCCGACGACGACAAGGAAGAGGTAGCGCCGCCGATTCTATGTATTTTATTTTCTAAAAAATATTTTTTTCAGTTTTTTGTTTTCTCGTGCGGGCGCTGTCGCCCGCACACGAAAATCTCGATTTTCCCAGACCACTAGGTGCGTTTAGCCGCACGCAAAAATCGGTGTTGTAGTAGTGTGAAGCCCTCGCCCGCCACTGCCGTCGAGAGGGAGGAGAGGGGAGAGGAAGTGACCGAGAGAGGAGGATGCCATAAGAGGAGAGTGGTGAGAGGACTTAGAGGGGGAGAGAGAGAGGAGGGGAGAATAAAAAGAATGGGGATATGGGGTAATTTTCGCATGCAGGTCACTTAAGGCTCGCATACAAAAATAGACCTGTTAAGGAGCCATATGCGAAAATATAGGTCGGTTTTTTAGGCGCAGCCAGTTACGGTCCGCCTGCAACCTATAGGGGTCTTTGTATAGAAAAATCGTTTGTGTAGTACTGAGTAGTGACCATCACAAGTCGCCACATGTGACGTGGATGCCATCAAAGCAAAGAGTTTGGGTTAGCTGACAATATGGACCCTACTATTTTTATTTTTAACTAGATTATGATGTATGCATCATCTTTTTTTTCTGGGGGTGGGGGAGAGGGGGATTGTTAATATAAATTGCTTGAAGAGTAATACACGCGGTATAGGATTTGGGGTGATTTTAGATTAAGGCAAATTTTTCTACAGGACATCGCGACTTTGTGGAATTAGCTCCAGGACACCGCACGAAGTGAGTTTTGGGGGAAGACACTTCCAAAAC